GTTATCCTTGGGTGACCGGATAAATCTGCAGACCCACAAGTTCATTGTAAACGGTTGTAAACGGTGGGGTCAAAAGGCCGTGCACTCGATTCCTGGAGATGACATGGCTCTTGGATTTTCTTTGTTTTAAACTCCCTTCCCCTAGTTCCCCAGACACTACATAAGATTCTCTTGCGGCATTCCTGTGTCTGGCAAAGTGGAAAAACAAGAGGAGGACATTCGATGAGCTAAGTTTAGCTTCAGCCTTGCTCCGTGGACCTCTGCTGGCACTAAACCGTAGTGTGTTCTTTGCTTTATGCTCTCTGTTGCTATAAAAAGCATTTTGTCAGCAACTGAGGGGGGCGCAAGTGTAACTTGATACACTGAAGTGATTTGGGGATATGTACAGAGAGTCTCTCTGGGAGGACACAAGGCTCTGTGTGCAGGTAGGATGTCTTCAGAGGGCGCTGTCTTTATTCTGGAGTGGTTGATCAGGGAAGAATGACTGGTCACTCACTACTTACGTTCTTCAGTCATTTCTCCTGAAAGAGTAATGTTGCCTTTAGCCCTGAAAAATGACTCTCACATTTGTGACGGTGCTAATGTTGCTCATAGAATCATAGAGTTGGAATAGACCACAAGGACCATCGAGTCCAACCCCCTGCCAAGCAGGAAACACCATCAGAGCACTCCTGACATATGGTTGTCAAGCCTCTGCTTAAAGACCTCCAAAGAAGGAGACTCCACCACACTCCTTGGCAGCAAATTCCATTGTCGAACAGCTCTTACTGTCAGGATGTTCTTCCTAATGTTTAGGTGGAATCTTCTTTCTTGTAGTTTGGATCCATTGCTCCGTGTCCGCTTCTCTGGAGCAGCAGAAAACAACCTTTCTCCCTCCTCTATATGACATCCTTTTATATATTTGAACATGGCTATCATATTACTCCTTAACCTCCTCTTCTCCAGGCTAAACATGCCCAGCTCCCTGCTCACATTGTGTCACTTTTACCATCGTTGTATACAGAATAATATACAAAAGAGACAGGTCATTTTTCTCAAAAATGCATTAACATCTGCCGAAAGTGGTACTTCAGACCATAATGAATAAAGAAGCCACCCATTAAAAAATGTGGGAGGTGTTCAACACTAGTCCTGCTCAGAGTAGACCCACTGAAATTAATGAACCTAAGTTATGCCCATTAATTTCAATAGGTCTGCTTTGAGCAGGACCAGTGTTGAATACCACCACTTGAGTTAATTGCCCTTCACAACCTTTATTTGCATCTGTTTTGAGACTAGATTTACTGTGGTCATTCAGACTACTCTTAATTATCTTAATACATGATAGCAGCCACCATACAGTAACCATGGAGCATGCACAGGGCAGCCTCTGGTCTTGTGCTTAGGTCCATGGAAGTGCTATTTGTGTTTATCGTTTCTCTGTGCCAGCCTTCCTCAAGGTAGTGCCCTCCAGCTGTGCTGGCTGAGGCTGATGGGAGTTGTAGTCCAAAACACTGGGAGGTCATCATGTCTGCTGTATGCAGATAGTGTCCATAGGGCAACAGGTTTCTGTGATGATGGTGACCCTGTTTTGATCCACCACTGTGTAAATTGCAGCATGGAATGGTGGTATTTCACACAAATAGGGCTTCCTTCTGAGTCAGCCTGTCTGTTCCCCCTACGCCTTGGGTAGAGATTTTATGGCGCCTGTCATCCTGTGTGAATGTGCCCTTATCGTGTAAGTAAGCCCCAGGGGGAGATGCCTGCTTATTGCTTCAACTCCTAAATAATGTCACTTGACGTAGTGTTGGCAAATGTGCAACAAGCAAAACACTCCAGAGAGAACTGACGCATTGGAATGGCAAGAAGCATAATTTGTGAAGATTTGCCTTGGCTTACTCCCTGCCAGGGGGTGATAAAACAATAATATGAAGTTGAATTTGAGTTAAAGCCATATCTCCATTCCAGCAAAAATGCATTTTATTTTTAAAAATCATATTAGCTTGTAGGAGCTGTGCCACTTACAGATTCTGCATCCTGATAGAAGCATACTTTCTACCTATCTTCCTTTTTATCTAGAGATTGGATGTGTTGCTCTGGTGTGGATAGGAATCTCAGCCTATGGTAGCAAAGACAAGGCCTGCTAATGGAGGTACATGGATGTGGAGGCCGATGAAAACAGTTGCTATGGAATGCTGGTCCCATTTATGGTGTTGTAATATGATAAGTGTGACATCCAGATTTCAGCGTTTTACTTATTTAAATAAGTCTTTTAAGTCCAAACCATCACACTTGGGGAAGGAAACCTCCATTCTCATTTGGGCACATTGTGCATGAAACTCCTCCTGGTAAGAAGATTGTGACCCTTTATATCGGATACAATCCTCTCTGCAAAACCTAAGGGTAGGCAACCAGTTCCATGTGGTTTGACAATTGGAGCAGAATGCAGTGGTCAGGGTGCTGGCTGGGCACATATTACACCACATCTTACAGACCAACACTGGTTGCCGGTGTGCTCCCAAGCCCAGTTCAAGGTGCATATATTGACATTGAAAACTCTAAAGGATTTGGGCCCCAAATATCTCAAGGACTGCTGTCTCGCACATAGATTTGCCTGAGTGTTGACAGGGGAGGCCCTGCTGCCAGATTGCCACAATGCCAAGTTCAGGAGAAGATCTTTTCTGTGGTGGCTTTCAGATGGTAGAATGCCCAGGTACAGCTGGCATTGTCACTGTTCAAAGATTTACTTTTCTTGCACAGGCTTTTAGGGATGAAATGTATTACATGGCTATTGTACTCAGCAGTATGTAACCTAGCTTGGGACCACGTGGTGAAGGGTGGCCTATAAGTAATCTTGCTACTATCTGTGAAGGGCATTAAAACATTCTCTCCCCTGATTATTGCAAGTTCTACTCATAGTTTCTGATTTCTGAGACTTACATTCACTTTCAGTTGTATCTTTGCAGTCTTCAGGACTTAGGAACATAAGAAGACCCTGCCAGCTCAGGCCAGTGGTCCCTCTAGCCCAGCATCCTCTTCCCGCAGTGGCCAATCAGATGCCTGTGGGAAGCCCTCTAGGAGGACCTGAATGCAAGAGCTCTTTCCTCTCTTGCAGTTTTTAGCACCTGGTATTCAGAAGCATTCCTGCCTCTTGACTGTGGAGGTAGAACATAGCCAATCATGGCTAGTAGCCACTGACCTTTATCTCTGTGAATTTGTCTAATCCTCTTCTTAAGCTGTTCCAAGTTGGTGGACATCACTGCTTGTTGTGAGAGGAAATTCCGTAGTTTAACTGTGCAGTTCTTAACATTTTAAAAATATAAATACAAATAATTCTCTTGCGTTATGATGTACATGGTGTATTCATACCCCTGCCCATTGTGAATAGCCGCCTTTGTAGTTGGGTCACTAGGCCATGGCGTATTAGTTTTGGCAACATACCTGAAGAGTTCTCTCTTCAGTAGTTCTCTTCTTATGTGTATTCTTTGTCCTTCTCCAGGTGCTGTAGCTTGTGTTGAATGAGTGTTAAATCAGTGGTGTGCCAACATTCCCGTCTTATTAAATCTGAGCACTGCTGCGTTCCTGGGGCATTGTGCTTGTTGGTTTCACATTACAGTTATGAGATTTATTTATTTTTAATCTCTGCTTTAAGGCCTACTAGTCTTCTCTGTTCCATAGAAAACTGAAAGGGCATATGGATGTATCATGTCTTGTGATACACTGGGAATTAACTGGGTCTTAAACACTTGGAAACAAATAAAATTAATTGTTTATCAGCTTTCTTAGCATAAACGATCCCTTTTTTGCTGGGGGAGGGGAGGTGCTTAAAGAATACTACATGTTTTGAATGTTTTTGTGGGCTTGGAGTTCGGAGTGGGAATGGGATTGCTTTAATGACTTGCGCCGCAACCCCAGAGTCGTCTGCAACTGGACTTAACTGTCAGGGGTCCTTTACCTTTACCTTTTTATCGTGTAACTATTATTACACATTGTTTTATTTCAGAGCCATTTTGCAGGGTAGACCTCAATGGCAAACTTGCCCACATCAGAGCCATTTGGGGCCCTGGACAGGACAAGGCCGACCCCATGGACTCTGTCTCCAGCATTTGCTTTATAGAGTCCGATGATTCTTAACCAGATGTTCCCTTGATAGGGAAATTAACTATGAGCTCACTTATAGATCCTTGTAGGAAAACTGTTCAATTTTCACTCCTAAGCTGAATTTGCATGATAAAATCTTGGCTTATTAAAACAGAATATGAGCAAGCTTTCTTCTGTACTTGGTTCATTTGCCCCTGCTTTGTTTCTCTCTTCACATGAGTGGAGAAACAAGCCAGGAAGCCAAAGTTAACTATACCCTCCCATTGTATGGAAATTAGGTTTCTGTTTTGGGGCTGTATAACTAATAATAATAATAATAATAATAATAATAATGTTTATACCCTGCCCACCTGACTGGATTTCCCCAGCTACTCTGGGTGGCTTCCAGCACATATAAAAACATAATAAAACCTCACAGATTAAAAACTTCCTGATACTGAGGAGCCTCCATGGATACAAAAGGCTTTCTGATTCAGTCTCCTTCCAGAAGACTGGAAGGCAACAGAAATAGCAACAAGGGACAGTGGAGCTTGGGCACTTGACCGCCAAGACCCCTTTTGCTTTTCACCCTTGTTTACATAGAAAGTGTTAAACCTTTCCACCCTTTCAGAGTAATTGAGAGGGTGGGGGAATGCTGTTTGACTGTGAGTGCAGAGGATTATAGCTAATCCTTTATGGTTTTGAAGATGGGCTTGAAAAGTTGGGTGGACAATGGTTCGTGAAACCCAGGATGGGGCAGCATGTTGAGCAGAATTTCTAACCATCAGGAATGGGGCCTCAGTGGTTGTTCAGCTCCATGAAGCTCTCTGCATCGGACAGAGTTAAGCAGATCTATGTGAACTGGCATAAGCTGCACCACTTTTTACATGCCATTGACATATGTTTGTGTGGATTCACTGACCTGTCTTTTGCTTTTCTAGGTTAATGATGTATGTGGATTAAAAGAAGCGACTGTTGATGAGTGAAATAGCTGACAAGAAGGCAGGCAGACTGGAAGGGGGCAGCTGCCAATGCGCCACGGAGGGCCAGCGGCTCAGCTGGAACTATGGAGGAAAGGAGTAATGAGAAGATAAACCAGGCCCATGTCCTCTTTGACCGATTTGTCCAGGCCTCGACCTGCAAAGGGACTCTCAAAGCCTTCCAGGAGCTCTGTGATTTTCTAGAGCTGAAGCCCAAAGACTATCGTACTTTCTACCACAAGCTCAAGTCCAAGCTTAATTACTGGAAAGCCAAAGCCCTTTGGGCCAAGTTGGATAAGAGAGGCTGCCACAAGGACTACAAGAAGGGGAAAGTATGCGCCAACACGAAGGTGGGCATTGACAAGCAGGGTTGCATTAGGTTTACCTGTACAGTATATATGAAAATGGCCTTTAGCTGTATGCAGTTACATATAGATGAGCCTGTGATGTTGGCTAGTATTTTCCATGTGGCTCTTGCTGTTTATCCCTGCTAAGATGAACAATAATCTCAGGGCAATGTGCAGCTGGGCTACACAGAGTGCTGCAGCTGGTACGGTTATACTACATTTTAAGCAAGATTACTTGTTGCTTTGTGTGGAAGTCTTAGGAATCTCCTCCTAAAACATTATCACTAAAAAATTACAACCATCATTTAAAACCTGCAGAAAATTAAAACTGCAATACAATAGACTAAAGCAAATTAGAACTCATACAGACTTTTAAAACACCTGGGTAGGCTTTTCTAAATAAGAATGCCTTTAGCAGGTGCTGCAGAGAGTATAGTGAAGGCACCTGCCTGATATAAAAAACTGATTCTGATCCTCATGAAAAACTCTTCAAGTTCAAATGACCAGATTTTATTTATGAAAAGTATAAACTTCAGTTACAATCTATTTAAATTTCCAGTTAGTTTCTTAAAATTGTTGATCACCTTGTTCTAAAAGTCCCGATTTTGTCAGCTAATCGCCTGCTAACCCTTGGTGGTTTTTCAAAACAAACAGATACCGCCAATAAATAATCTACTTAAAACTTGTATTTAGCAGTATGATGTAAGGCTGGGAAGCTGCTGGCAGCTGTGTTTAGTTGGGCTGTTTCATCTGCAGAAACGGCATGTTCCCAAAGATCAACACTGTTCACAGTGTGCTTTGCAGCCTCCATCTCTTGTTAACACTGCCTGTGCTTCATCTTTGCTACCCTGGCTTTGACCTTATCTTTTCTGTCCTGGCTGTTTGGTGGCTTAGTGATATCGCTTCCTAATATAATTCTTGGAGTAGGCAAGAATTCCCATTGTAGCTTCTGAGTGATTTCCCCATTTGCTATGCCAGTGACAGGATTCCAGCAGTCACCAGCACTCAGTTGTTACTTGTGTGAATATTCATTTGTATTCTGCTCTTCCTCCAAAGGTCTTGGGGATGAACATGTGGGTGTTCTGGTTTTGCTGGTTTGTTTGTTTTGTTTCGTATCATTTTTGCAACACTGAGCTAGGTGAGGACAGAGGGACTTACAGTGGGCAACCCACTTAGTCTGCATATGCAGCTGAAAGAGGAGGTAGACCTTGGAGGCAATTGTACCATTTCAGATTGCATGCACAGATCACATTTCTTAATACTACCCTTTATGAAAAATTTGCTGTAAATAGAAAATAGCACAGTAGGGAATGAAGTTGGCATCGAATCTCTGCAGGGGCACCAAACACAGCTCAGAATGTGGGCATGGATTCCAGAGTGGCTGTTCATGGAAGTTACTGTGGCTTCTTGATGGTGTCAGGAACTATAGCAGCAGCTTAGTGTAGGCACCCCCAACCTTCAGCCCTCCAGATGTTTTGGACTACAATTCCCATCATCCCTGACCACTGGTCCTGTTAGCTAGGGATCATGGGAGTTGTAGGCCAAAACATCTGGAGGGCCGCAGGTTGGGGATGCCTGGCTTGGTGTTTGGCTGCAACTGGGAAACCCAGTTTTGAATCCCCACTCAGCCATTAAGCTCACAAAGTGCGCTTCCCCTACTTCGCAGGGGTTGTTATGAGGATAAAGTGAAGGGACTGTGTACACACCAGCTTGAGCACCTAGAGGAAAAGTGGGGTGTACATTTAATGGTGTTTTAATAAATCTGATTTGGGAATGGAGGGGAATTAGTAAGTGAACTTGTTCTGAGATTTGAGCAGAACTTTGGTAGAGGTCTTACTCAGAACATGAGTTAGTTTTGATTAGAGGTGGCAGGGATTGAATTTGTGGCCTTCTGCACGCAGAGTGCATGCTCCACCCCTGAGTCATGCCCCTGTCCAAATATTATGATAGTGGAGTCAAATGCTGAAGTGGAGGAACTATTATGCGTAGGGAATCCAAGCACTGCTTTTGCTGAATCCTGTGTAGACAAAAGCTGCTTTGGAAAACTGTAAGCTGGTTGGTGTGTATTTTCTAAGGCATACCGCCATGCAGTTAACCTGATTTGGTTCTGCGGAACCATTTCATATTAGGAAGAGACTGAAAACTTGACGTCGCCTGACACAAATCTGAAGTGATTCCTGATGAGGAAGGCTGGCTTTGTGTCACTCCTGTGTATTTCCACTGAAATTGTGGTGATCGTCCTATAGCCAGAACTGTAGAAAGTGCACTTGAGTATCTTTCAATGTCTTCCTGGTTTTTGTTGCATTTCAGTGAACTAAGACCATATAAACCTCCCTCCCCCCGCCCCCCATCCAGACTTGTTTCAATTTTGAAATCGTCTTTATACAACAACATGTAAAACTGTTTCCTCTCTTGCAGTGTCTCATCATTGGGGCTGGACCCTGCGGCCTTCGAACAGCCATTGACCTATCCTTTCTAGGAGCAAAGGTGGTGGTGATAGAAAAGCGTGATGCCTTCTCCCGCAACAATGTTCTGCATCTGTGGCCATTTACCATACATGACTTGCGGGGCCTTGGCGCCAAAAAATTCTATGGCAAATTCTGTGCAGGAGCCATCGACCATATCAGTAAGTGGTGCCATTCTTGGTTATCACAAATTATATATATCCTTAGATGGGGCTGAGGAGGGTGGTGTGTGTGTGTCTGAGATGGCTGTGATCCAGATAATTTTGACATAGAAAATTACTTGCCCACCACAATAATATTTATTAGCTTCCTCATATTTAGGCTTGGGGTGGAGGAAGGAAGGGGGCTAGAGTTGAGGTTGGTGGGTATGGGAGCAACATGTCTCCTGCCAGATAGCGATTTCTCCTTCTACAGCCCTTCAAATCCTTTCATGCACTTGTATTCTCAGAAATTCCACTGAATTAATTCAGGCATATGTCCAAGAAAATCTGCATAGGATTTCTGTCCTTGAATTTTTTAATGTATTGATATAGCAGCAACTAATGTACGTAGCTGTACACAGATAACACATGTAAGTTCATTAAGAGCAGCAGCCTGTCTTTGTTGACAGATAATAATCACAGGTCTCTAGCAAACAGGTGGGTAGTTACTTGCATGGCTGTATAAATTGCCACAAGGTGAGGTTTTTCAATTGCTCTCTGTGGGGAGAGGTACTATTGCCACATGAGAGAGGAAATGTTTTAATGAGTCTCCCTGGTAAAATAGCAGATCATACTAGATCGAGTACATTCAGGAAAGAAGTTCACCATAGCAAAATAATAGTTCTTCCTGTCTGATTTCTTATCCTTTCTTTTGCACAGTCTCATTTGATCGCAATCCAGACGCTTTAATCTTTAAAGTTCTGCTGCTGATAGTCATCCGGAAGCATCAAGGGTTGCTTTCAGTCACTTCATTGACTATTGGATTATATTTTTAGGTTACAAAGCTCTTTTGAGGGGATTGATGGTAACATTAGTGTCAGGCCAATCAGCAAGGTTTTAAGCACTTCTTGTCGTTTTCATTGTCTGTCCCTCTGTCTTGCAGGTATTCGTCAGCTCCAGCTGATACTCTTGAAGGTCTCCTTAATCCTGGGTGTTGAGATCCATGTCAATGTGGAATTCCAGGGGCTTCTCTACCCTCCTGAGGACCAGGAGAATGAGAGTAAGTAGAGTTGGGATGAGCGGCAGGATCTGGAAGAGTAAAGATGAAGGCCTGTATTGTTCTGCTGGCCAGCAAGAGCTGGTTCTTGCATTGTCATAGTGTCACGGGCTGCTTCAGTAATGCATGTAATGGGGAAACCCCCGGGGGAGGCAAGTTAAGGCGCAATTAACTTTCCACACCAGTTTTGCTAGGGCTCAGTGAAATGTTATCTGGTGTCGTTGTTCTAAGATGTTATTAACATGCAGAATTTATTCATAGGGATAGGTTGGCGTGCACAAGTTCACCCGAAAACGCATCCTGTGTCGGAATACGAGTTTGATGTGATCATTGGAGGAGATGGAAGGAGGAACACATTGGAAGGTAGCTGCTACTAGTGTTTATAGCAGCGTGGAGTCAGCGCCTCTAGTTTCTGCTCAGCTATGTACCCCCAACCACTGTCTTGCAAGTCTTCCAGGGGGACCATGGTAGAGTGATGGAACATGCACTTTTTATGCTGAAGCAGAGCTGGTCCAAAACCTTTTGCTGCCTGAGGAAGAGCAGGTAATGCTGCCCCTCGCTAAGACAAGGTGCATAATACCCAAGAGTAGTCAAGTTGCTTGGCCACCTGAGGCAGGAAATCCCACAAGCCCTTCTAAATATACTACAATAATGACACATTAAGTGATGAACAATTTGCTGCCCTTTCATGTCACCCAAAATCATCTCCCTTCGGTGGCTGCCTCACCCCGCCTAATGAGAGGGCCGGCCCTATGCAGAAGATGCCAGATTGTGTTTAGGTAGCAGGACTGGAAAATATTTCTTCTCTTGACATCTCTTGAGAGCTGTTTTCAGTCTGGGTAGATGGCACTGGCTACATGGACTACTGGTTTGATTCAGTAAAAGGCAGTGTTGTTTGTTCATGTGTGGTACGTTGCTAGACCTGGATCATCTGGCTTGCCTTGTTCATGCTCTGGTGGAGCATTTTCATACTCAGCAACTGCTAACCAGTCGAACTGCTGAAAAATACACTTTCACTCCCCTGGACAATATTTTTTTTTTTGGGGGGGGGGATTTGACCTAAGGAAGCTCCTGCCAACCAATGCTCCTGCCACCGTAAATTTGTTAATCTGTAAGGTGCCTCTGTGATTTTCGCCTGTTGCAGCAGAAGCACAGCTTGGCTACTTCAATGAAGTTATGGCTTAATCACACTGGTCATGCAACAAGGTGTATCATGTTGTTGTTGTTGTTTAGTCGTTTAGTCGTGTCCGACTCTTCGTGACCCCATGGACCAGAGCACGCCAGGCACTCCTGTCTTCCACCGCCTCCCGCAGTTTGGTCAGGCTCATGTTTGTAGCTTCGAGAACACTATCCAACCATCTCATCCTCTGTCGTCCCCTTCTCCTTCTGCCCTCCATCTTTCCCAACATCAGGGTCTTTTCCAGGGAGACTTCTCTTCTCATGAGGTGGCCAAAGTATTGGAGCCTCAACTTCACGATCTGTCCTTCCAGTGAGCACTCAGGTCTGATTTCCTTAAGAATGGATGCGTTTGATCTTCTTGCAGTCCATGGGACTCTCAAGAGTCTCCTCCAGCACCATAATTCAAAAGCATCAATTCTTCGGCGATCAGCCTTCTTTATGGTCCAGCTCTCACTTCCATACATCACTACTGGGAAAACCATGGCTTTAACTATACGGACCTTTGTTGGTAAGGTGATGTCTCTACTTTTTAAGATGTTGTCTAGATTTGCCATCGCCTTTCTCCCAAGGAGCAGGCGTCTTTTAATTTCGTGGCTGCTGTCACCATCTGCAGTGATCATGGAACCCAAGAAAATAAAATCTCTCACTGCCTCCATTTCTTCCCCTTCTATTTGCCAGGAGGTGATGGGACCAGTGGCCATGATCTTCGTTTTTTTGATGTTGAGCTTCAGACCATATTTTGCGCTCTCCTCTTTCACCCTCATTAAAAGGTTCTTTAATTCATCCTCACTTTCTGCCATCAAGGTTGTGTCATTTGCATATCTGAGGTTGTTGATATTTTTTCCGGCGATCTTAATTCCGGCTTGGGATTCATCCAGCCCAGCCTTTCGCATGATGAATTCTGCATATAAGTTAAATAAGCAGGGGGACAATATACAGCCTTGTCGTACTCCTTTCCCAATTTTGAACCAATCAGTTGTTCCATATCCAGTTCTAACTGTAGCTTCTTGTCCCACATAGAGATTTCTCAGGAGACAGATGAGGTGATCAGGCACTCCCATTTCTTTAAGAACTTGCCATAGTTTGCTGTGGTCGACACAGTCAAAGGCTTTTGCATAGTCAATGAAGCAGAAGTAGATGTCTTTCTGGAACTCTCTAGCTTTCTCCATAATCCAGCGCATGTTTGCAATTTGGTCTCTGGTTCCTCTGCCTCTTCTAAATCCAGCTTGCACTTCTGGGAGTTCTCGGTCCACATACTGCTTAAGCCTGCCTTGTAGAATTTTAAGCATAACCTTGCTAGCGTGTGAAATAAGTGCAATTGTGCGGTAGTTGGAGCATTCTTTGGCACTTCCCTTCTTTGGGATTGGGATGTAGACTGATCTTCTCCAATCTTCTGGCCACTGCTGAGTTTTCCAAATTTGCTGGCATATTGAGTGTAGCACCTTAACAGCATCATCTTTTAAAATTTTAAATAATTCAGCTGGAATATCATCACTTCCACTGGCCTTGTTATTAGCGATGCTTTCTAAGGCCCATTTGACTTCACTTTCCAGGATGTCTGGCTCAAGGTCAGCAACCACACTACCTGGGGTATACGAGACATCAATTTCTTTCTGGTATAGTTCCTCTGTGTATTCTTGCCACCTCTTCTTGATGTCTTCTGCTTCTGTTAGGTCCTTTCCACTTTTGTCTTTTATTATGGAAATCTTTGTACAAAATGTTCCTTTCATATCTCCAATTTTCTTGAACAGATCTCTGGTTCTTCCCATTCTATTGTTTTCCTCTATTTCTTTGCATTGCTCGTTTAAGAAGGCCTTCTTGTCTCTCCTTGCTATTTTTTGGAAATCTGCATTCAATTTCCTGTATCTTTCACTATCTCCCTCGCATTTTGCTTGCCTTCTCTCCCCCGCTATTTGTAAGGCCTCGTTGGACAGCCACTTTGCTTTCTTGCATTTCCTTTTCATTGGGATGGTTTTAGTTGCTGCCTCTTGTATAATGTTACGAGCCTCCATCCATAGTTCTTCAGGCACTCTGTCCACCAAATCTAAATCCTTAAACCGGTTCCTCACTTCCACTGTGTATTCATAAGGGATTTGACTTAGATTGTATCTTACCGGCCCAGTGGTTTTTCCTACTTTCTTCAGTTTAAGCTTGAATTTTGCTATAAGAAGCTGATGATCTGAGCCACAGTCAGCTCCAGGTCTTGTTTTTGCTGACTGTATAGAGCTTCTCCATCTTTGGCTGCAGAGAATATAATCAATCTGATTTCGATGCTGCCCATCTGGTGATGTCCATGTGTAGAGTCGTCTCTTGTGTTGTTGGAAAAGCGTGTTTGTGATGACCAGCTTGTTCTCTTGACAGAACTCTATTAGCCTTTGCCCTGCTTCGTTTTGAACTCCAAGGCCAAACTTGCCAGTTGTTCCTTTTATCTCTTGATTCCCTACTTTAGCATTCCAATCCCCTATTATGAGCAGAACATCCTTCTTTGGTGTCATTTCTATAAGGTCTTGTAAGTCTTCATAGAATTGGTCAATTTCAGTTTCTTCAGCACCAGTAGTTGGTGCATAAACTTGGATTACTGTGATGTTAAAAGGTCTGCCTTGGATTCGTATCGAGATCATTCTATCATTTTTGAGATTGCATCCCAGTACAGCTTTCACCACTCTTTTGTTGACTATGAGGGCCACTCCATTTCTTTTACGGGTTTCTTGTCCACAGTAGTAGATATGATAGTCATCCGAACTGAATTCGCCCATTCCCGTCCATTTTAGTTCACTGATGCCCAAGATGTCAATATTTATTCTTGCCATCTCATTTTTGACCACATCCAACTTACCCAGGTTCATGGTTCTTACATTCCAGGTTCCTATGCAATATTTTTCTTTACAGCATTGGACTTTCCTTTCGCTTCCATGCATATCCGCAACTGAGCGTCCTTTCGGCTTTGGCCCAGCCGCTTCATCAGCTCTGGATCTACTTGTACTTGTCCTCCGCTCTTCCCCAGTAGCATGTTGGACACCTTCCGACCTGAGGGGCTCATCTTCCAGCGTCATAACTTTTATATGCCTGTTGTCTTTGTCCATGGAGTTTTCTTGGCAGGGATACTGGAGTGGCTTGCCAGTTCCTGCTCCAGGTGGATCACGTTTGGTCAAAACTCACCACTTTGACCTGTCCATCTTGGGTGGCCCTGCACGGCATAGCTCATAGCTTCTCTGAGTTATTCAAGCCCCTTCGCCATGGCAAGGCAGTGATCCATGAAGGAGAGGTGTATCATACATTGTATTAAGCCACGAGAAGAGAGTTTTATTTCATTTGCACCCAGTCAGAGATAGAGGGAAGATGGGGAGTGGAAACATCCTCCTCCTCATGCGAGCAGATCACCCCCTTACTTGTTCATGGTATTCCCACTGTACTAAGTTACTACTTGGTACATTGTCTGCAACTATAGTGGGGGAAAGTAACATAGGAAGCAACTTTGAGGACATGCATTACATAGTTAGTAGGTGCTTTAGTTGAGATTGCTGCATTGCAGGGGGCTGATGACCCTCAGGCCTCCCTTCCAACTCTACATTTTTATGGTTCTATACCCAGAATGGACTGTGAAAGGCCCATATACAAGTTTTATTGCACACTTAGTGAAATGAATGTATCTGCCCCTAATTATAAGAAATACGTTAGATAGACTACTGTAGGTGCTGACTCTGGTGAATGAAACAACTCAGTTTTTGGGCAGCTGAGTAAAAGTCCAGGTCTCTTGTTTTAATCCAGTTTTTTCTACTACTCCCATGCGGCCGCTGCTTCCATTGTCAACACTTTCATTATCATGACACCCCTGAGCCTACTTAATTGGCACTTTGGTTGTCGCAGCGAGACCTTTGAACCACATGCCTTTTTGTTGTTGTCCCTTATCTCTCCTTTAGGGTTTCGACGAAAAGAATTCCGTGGCAAGCTGGCGATTGCCATTACGGCAAACTTCATCAACCGCAATACAACAGCGGAAGCCAAAGTTGAAGAGATCAGTGGTGTGGCCTTTATATTCAACCAGAAATTCTTCCAGGATTTACGAGAAGCTACAGGTTTGTAGAAGTAATCCAAAGACAAAAAGGGGCATTTTCAATATGCATATTTGATCTCTTCAGTTTTCACAATTTGTTTGTACTACTTGGAGGTTGGCGGCTCGCCATTCGTGATGTCACAAGGAACACGTGGGATTGTTTCAGTTGCCCAGTTTATAGAGCAGATAGCCTGGTTTCTGAGTCTTGGCTTATGTTCTCTGCCTGTTAAAGGGTGAAACAACAGTGGATTCCTATGGTATGTTTTCATTATGCTTGATTCTCATGACAATCTCGTTTCGATTTTGATACACTCTATGTGGGGCCATAATGGTTAAGTAACTACAGCGGTGATGTTCAGCCACTTGGGAGCTATGTTACCTGCATGTAGCATCGCAGCTACCCACTTAATGGAACACTTCAGGTATTCTCTCCCAGTATGGAAACTTGCTCAATTACAAATTATTACAACTTATTACTAAACTGAAAAGTATGGAAAGACCTGGTCTGAATAGAGATACTGGATTCTTGTCTCATTACACATGCTAAAGCTATTTTTGGTCAACTGCATACTGTCCCTTGCTTTTTCCTGTAGGACTAATTGTAGTCGTTAACAGTCATCAACAGGTTTACCATGCCCCTTGAGCCAATCACCAATCTCCTACTACCCTTCTGAGAAAAACCCCACCCCACCCTCCCACTATATAAGGGTCTGGTGACTTCTGTTTCAGTGTATCTGAAGAAGTGTGCATGCACACGAAAGCTTATACCCAGAACAAACTTAGTTGGTCTCTAAGGTGCGACTGGACCATTTTTAAATTTTTTAGTATGGAAACAGCTATGGCAACTGCAGAAACCCCCACAGCACTGTATGTACATTTAAAGTGGGTCTCTGCTTCGTGTTGTCTTGTGGGACCCTTTTCACTGTTTGGTTCCGTGTTGCCGAGGCTTCCGGAAAGGCCATTCATCCAGGACTACTTCTTCACTTAACAACTTGCAAGTTATGGGCTACATCTGTTTGCAGTGGGGGTTTAAGGGGTACTCAAGCATACGCAGCACTGGCACCACTGTTGTTGTTGTTGTTGTTAATAAGTGTGGCACTTACTGTAACAACTTCATGGTCAGTACTGGCACCTATTTTTCTAGAAAAAAAGCCCTGTCTGTTTGGATCAAAAGCATCATATGCCTTGCAGTCTGCTTGGCAGAAGTTTGCATCTTGGGCCTTTAGAGTTTCCATATCAACTAGATCTGTGTAATGGCATCACTCCCCTTCCCTTTTCCAGGCATTGTGCTGTTCTTATACCCCAATTATACCCCGGTTTTGGCACCAGCTCCAGGAAGAAGCTTGTTTCTTTTTCTTATTGGGCACCTTGTTGTAGCATGGGGAGCATCTTGTAGTCTGGGGCTGGTTTTTCCCTATAGGTGTCTTCCTTAGACCATCTTACAAGGACATGTAAGGTGAGATCACTGGGAGGGCCCCTTGCAATACATTCTGCATTCTGCCACATGCTCTTGTATTTACCCCTCCACTGCTTGATTCTGTGTCTGTTTTTCTTCCAACTTAGGCATTGATCTGGAGAACATTGTCTACTACAAAGATGACACCCACTACTTTGTTATGACTGCCAAAAAGCAGAGCTTACTGGAAAAAGGAGTGATATTGCATGTGAGTGTGCTGTTAAGTCTCTTTGAAACCTTTGTACACGGTGTGGAGTGCAGCACCATCATTCAAGCACTTTAAAGTTTGCTAACTATTCTGCTGACTTGCTTTTGGCTGTCACATCAATCTTCTAGGACAGTGTTTAGATTATTCAGTGTTCAGATTATTGATAGCGTCAATTTAAAGCAAAACTTTATTATTGATAGCGTCAATTTAAAGCAAAGAGGCCATTAGATTATTAAATGGGAAACTGACAAATAATGCAGTGGTCCATGTGCCCCCAGAAGCAGTCACCAAAATTCAAGAGCTAATTTCACCTTATATAAATATGACCTTGAGTAATCTTGAAAGACAAGCATGATTGGTATCTTTAATTCTCAGTTGTGGCAGAGTTTGCTCTTGTGTTCTGACATATTTGTTTTACCACTGTGTAACTGAACTGACTCAGTAAATGAGTTGCTGGGAGCTGCTGTTTTGTGCATAAACACATCTGAAAAATACAACTATGCTATTTGATTTAAAGTGTGGCAGCAAAGGGTTGTTTTTTAACCACCAGAATATGGATTGAGCAGATGTCTTAGCAGATATTGTTGTGTGAATAAGATGCTATGGAGGGTGAAAATAAGTATTCCTTCCCGTTATTTTATTAAAAGTATTTTTTATCCTGATTTTCAGCTGACATCTTCCCAGAGTGGCTTACAGCAATCAATAAGATGGTTCCAGTTCTCAGGCTTACATTTTAAAGCACATAGCACAAGATTGTGGGGGAATGGGGGGAATACGAACTTGGGCACTACTACTTGTTGAGTTATGAAGCTCTTACAAGTGTTATTTTTGGCAGGGATGGGTAGAGCAAGTTCCCTTCTGGTCCTTGGTCAATGGAAGTGGCCTTGCCATGATGTTCTTCCTAGGAGGCCAGGGGAGCATCTTCCCTGTGATCTTTGTTCTCCTGGCTGATGGCAGAGGCCCAGGACATCTGCAATGGAAAAGTTCATTCATTTCACCAATGTACCAAAGGTCACCTTGAATATTGGCACACTTTGCTGCAAACTTGTCCACCTGCACAATTCTTGAACAAAGTCTGATTGTTATGCTTGGCTCCCCTGCTGAGGAAGTTAGAACAACTCAGAAGTGGTTCCTAGGGGGCTTGCTGTCTAGGCAGCTAGCTGGCGATGCCAGGCCTGGTTGGTTTCAGTGCTAGGGTTGCCTTATATGCCCTCAGAGCATTGCACAATCCCTGAGCCTTTCTCTCTCCTTTTTGGTCTTGCAGGACTATGCAGATACAGAGCTCCTTCTTTCGCGGGAGAATGTGGATCAGGAAGCTTTGCTCAATTACGCCAGGGAAGCAGCTGACTTCTCAACCAATCAGCAACTGCCATCGCTGGACTTCGCTATCAACCACTATGGGCAGCCCGATGTGGCCATGTTTGACTTCACATGCATGTATGCCTCGGAGAACGCAGCCATGGTTCGAGAAGTAAATGGCCACCAGTTGCTAGTGGCATTGGTTGGGGACAGTCTGTTAGAGGTTTGTTCTTTTACATGGGTTGTTTCTTGTTTCAAACAGCTTTGTTTTTATGTCCTTTCCCATCACAGATGCTCAGGGCGGTCAACAACATTTTGTATTATTAATGTAATATCACTGATGCGCACAGCACTTTGCAACAGAAAAAGAAGTCCTTGCCCTCAAGACCGTACAATGAAATATGTAGTTGTTTCTGTGTTTGTTGAGGGGATTACCACTGTACAGAGCAGAAAAAATAATCTGGAGGAAAAAATAAATGGGTGGAGAAAAACAGAATTTGAAAACAATGGGTTATTTCAAACAGTGTTGCATAGCTGATGCTCTGTATCTGCTTCAGAGAGTTTGGGAGCCCTCCAAAGCAACTTTGGGATGCAGAGGCTGTAGGCAGGAGGGGAAATCACAGAAAGTTGCTCGTCTCCTTTCCACTGACAGAGGAAGGGAGGCAGCACCATCAGCTGTGTGACACCACTGGAGAAAATCCAACTCAGAGCAGACCCATTGAAATTAATGATGCTAACTTAGACATGTCCATTAACTTGGGTGGGTCTACTGTGTAGGACTAGTGTTGAATACCACCCAGTGATCTTGTGGGGCAGGGGACTGTGCATAAAGAATAATTCCTTTTTTTCTGTAAATGTGTGGAGGACGATCAAAAGGCAACTTCCATCACTATCTAGTTCATTTGAATAGGGGTGGACTATTAATTGCTCTCTATCAACACACTGCTTTTTCTCCAGAATCCACATCAATTAAACAAACCTATACTGAATATTTTTTTAAATGACTTGCATGATAAAAGGAGGTTCTCACAGTTCAGAACATTTTGGTGCATGCTAGTGTTGCTTCTTCTGCAGCTCTCGTGCCTCTGGCTTCACATGGATGTAGTGGAGTGTTGTTGTAGGTCTTACATATATATGCACATCCAGACATGGGTGTGACTTGCAGGAGTGTCCTTGTGACTTGAAAAACGCAACGTGTGAAAGAGACCAGATGAGAAACTGCTGGAAGTGCTCCCACCCCCCAGTTGCTCTGCCATGACTTGAAAAGAAGCATGGTTTATAGAGCCTGTAATTGGGTAGCAAACAACAATTAGCAGTCTGTAATTGATTTAAATGGCATAGCTGGCTTTGGAAAGCTACTGTGGCAGCTCAGGGGATAAGGGTGCATTGGAATTATTAGATGTTGCTCCTACAGAGGCTTGGAGGGAGTCTGGGTCTTAAGGCAGCATTGCAATATGTCAGCTTCCCCAGTTTTCTTTGGGAACTTATTCTCGTCTTCTTCCTCCCCCCTCCTCCATTGCTTCTTGCTTCTAGCCATTCTGGCCAATGGGAACTGGAATTGCCAGGGGCTTCCTTGCCGCCATGGATTCTGCCTGGATGGTACGAAGCTGGTCTCTGGGAACAAGTCCTTTGGAGGTTCTTGCAGAGAGGTAAAGAAATTTCTGTGTGTTTGGTGGTGGGGGGTAGAGAACAAACGTGAATTCTCTCCAGATGAGAGAGTGGCCTGGTTCACATGTCACCTTAAACTGTAATTCCCTGCAGCTACTGTTCTGCAAAGAGTGTGGCTTGTTGTGTATCCCAAACATGGGCTTGTTTTCCCCAAAACAGGCCACAAGCAGTAGTCAAGTTTAGTTCTTGGTTTACGACTCATGGCTTGTTTACAACAAGCAAACTCTGAGCCCTCATTCGGATGACATGGCAAGCTGGACTCTGGTTTGTTTCACCTGTGCAGCAGCAGCAGCAGGAGTTAGTAGAGGGGAAGGATTCAGGGAACTTTTTGAGTATTGCGAACTAGCATGCTGCTTGTTTACATTAAACCACAGTTCGTTTTAAACTAGGGTTTAATGTGATGTGCAAACTGGGCCATAATATGGAAGTGTCTGTGGCTCCTTAATATACCTGCAGAAATCATGTGATTTTTATGCAAGCACGAACCAACCTTAATTCTGCACCATTTTTGTCCGATTGCATTTCAGTTTCCCCACTCTTTTTTTGCTGTGCTTTTCTTTGTGTGTTTATCTGCTGAATTTGTGTAATTCCACCCAGACACATTAGGAAGTTTCTCTTTGTGTGCAGAATCAGATTTAATGGTCATGTGGAGCAGTTTCCATACCATTGTCTTCCTGCAAGCAACACAGGGTTTTTTTTAAGTGGGATTACTTTATGTACACTTGCAATGGTTTTACAAGAGAGATTAGATGGAGAGAGAGAGACACCTGTCCAGTTGGACTCTCACTGCAGTCCTGTGCGTGTCTGCTCAGAAATAAGCCCCGGTGAGTACTGTGACACTTGCTCTGGGGTTAAGTGTGTTTAGAATTGCAGTCTTGGAGAATATAGGGATTTCATCCCACGTCTGATATTGGTGCTCTAATCACTAGTCCTCATTTCCTGAGTGAATAACACATGAGGAGCCATGAACAGGGACATTGTAAAAATTTATCCAAGCAACTTGCAGGAAGGATGTCCTTAATGAGATGCAACCTTTCACGTGGGGATAGTGGGAAGAACTAGTAAGAAGAACACTAATTCAAGTGTAATTAGTAAATAGAAGATTGAGGTCCATACTCATCTTCTGCCAGCTTCTCCCAGTATTCTAAGGACAGATCAGTTGACAAATGAGCACTTCTGGGCCTACCTACCTTAAAAGGCTTTGAAGCCAAGCAGCAATGTAATTAAGATGAAAATTGTTCTTCTGAGTTCAAAATTGTTCTTTTCTGAGTCACATTTCATTCCCGTTGCATAACAGCATTGTTAACCTCTGGTGTCATGCCCTGGCACAGGCAAAGGTTGTGGTAGAAGTTTACTTCATACACACAGGAGAGACTAGAGAAATTGTAACAAATTAAACAGATGTTATCTTGCTAATCGCTAATTCCTTTATTCTCTGTCTAACCTTCTCATAAGCTGTCCCCCCCTCACTGCTCACCCTCACTCTTAATTCCCTCAACTCACTCTCCTAACTGATTTTTCCAACTGCCTTTGAATGCTGCCATTACTCATTAGTCGGCTCCTCCTAGCATTCCGAAAATGCTCAGGCATTGCACAGGCCCCAAATATTGCATGGCAGGGTGAAGTTCATCAGGTAGTTGGGTTTTTCTTTTTGTTTGTTACTGCATGGCAAGGCTCCAGCGAATAGGTGCATCTGTTGAAGGCTTTCCACATGCTTGTGGCCAGGCAAACACAGCTTAGGTAAATCAGAAGCGCCGGCTGCTTTTCTACTATCCTACTTAAAACGAGGTAAATATTTCTGGTTTTTTTAATTGAATGGAAAAAGTGAGTCTTGAGTTTCTGGGCTCAGGCCAACCGTGTCATAAGGGATTGCTTGAAACCTAAATATAATCAGTTAAATGACAGAGTGCCTTGAAATATTTACAGAAAGGACATCGCATTTACAAATCAGTTAAAATGAACAGAGTGCCACAGTTATAGCTTTTCACATGTGCATGGGGCAGTTAGATATTGTCCTGTTGTTGTTGTTTAGTCGTTTAGTCGTGTCCGACTCTTCGTGACCCCATGGACCAGAGCACGCCAGGCACCTCTGTCCTCCACTACCTCCCGCAGTTTGATCAAACTCATGCTGGTAACCTCAAAAACGCTATCCAACCATCTCGTCCTCTGTCGCCCCCTTCTCCTTGTGCCAGATATTGTCCTAAGCAGCAACAAAGGATAACCGTTGGCCATAGATGGCAAAGACAAACAAGTGGGGTGAAATAATTTTGTTCAGTGATGGCTGCTGGAAAAGGTGTTGACTGGGCAACATTTTATGTGACGACACTCTTTTACGTCACCGGTACTAATGCCATTGTCTTCTTTCTCCTAGGGAGAGCATCTATAGATTATTGCCTCAGACCACCCCTGAGAATGTGAGCAAAAACTTTAGCCAGTACTGCATTGACCCTGTCACACGGTATCCAAACATCAATGTCAACTTCCTGCGACCAGCCCAGGTAATTGCTTTAATCCTGGGCTCTTCCAGTGTGCTTAAATGCACTTTGAGTCCCATGTCGCCTTGATGTGGCTGTCTTTATCTCCTCTTGTCTGTGTACTGTACCTTGAGTCAGATGTAAGAGGAATTGTTGGGAAGAGCTGGGATAGCCACGCAAAGCTTTGCGTTGCTTTCTTGTTTCTTGTTTTCCTCCTCTAAAAACTAGGTGTGTCTTATGGCCGGGTGCATCTTATGGAGTGAAAAATACGTTAGATTTTATCTGTCTATCTATCTGTCTATCATTAATCAACAGACAGGATGAGTGGAGCAGGCAGAAATCCATTGTCCAAAGTTACCCTAACTTTGTAACTTAGTATTCATTTATTTTACATATTTATATTTATTTATTGCTTTTTTGGATTGCGGAGAAGAACAAAATACAAAGCCAGTATAAAACAAAATCAATATACAACATGAAAGCAATGGCTACAATACAGAAGCTTGCCATGAAATAGAAATCATACAGCCTTTGAATCCCATCAAGGATGTTGATTTCTTTTGTTCGTGTTCTCTCTCTCTCTAAAGATGTTGATTTCTGCATTTCGTTGGGTATGTTTTAAAATTAGGGTGGTGAAGCTGTGGCCCTTCAGATGTTTTTAGTCTGCATCTATTGATTTTCTGGCTGGGGCTGAAGTTGGAATCCAGCATTTGGAAGGCCACAGGGTACTCATCCCTGTTGTCATGAGAGTGACTATTCTGCAGATACTTACATAGTTCACTCGCACCTGTGTCATTCAAGGAATGCTTAACTTTTTTGCATTCTTCTTTGAAGCTTCAGATAATAATCAAATCTTTTTGAACTGGTACAGGTACGTCATCTGTATGATACAGGAGACTTGAAAGACATTCACCTGGAAATAGAGAATTTGGTGAACTCCAGGACACCAAAGTTGTCGCGGAATGGTAAGCTCCCATTCTTCCCCATTCCTTTTGTGGCACTTTCTTCTCTCCCCTCTCGTGAGTTTCAAAACCACAGTCTATGTCAGTGGCAATCAGAAGTCAGGTTCTCAGATGATACATTTTAGAAGAGAATTGCCTGGATATTTTATTTAAAGCCGTGTTCAATGTCCCTTAGTGACTTCAAAGTCTCTTTGACAACTCACAGTCTTTGATAAACACAAGCTGTATTATTTAACTTTTGTGTACAGGCATGATAATGGAAAATGTTATTTGAAGTTGTGTGTGTGTGTGTGTGTGTGTGTGTGTGTGGCAGAAGGATATATTCATTTTTACTTCACCAGGACGCTTTTTATCTATTTATTCTGGACAACAGTGCTGAGCACCTGGAACAACAGTTGCATATGTGTGTGTTTGTATTTAGAGTCGGTGGCTCGCTCTAGCAAACTCCTGGGCTGGTGTCAGAGGCAGACGGATGGATATGCCGGTGTAAACGTAACAGATCTTACAATGTCTTGGAAGAGCGGCCTAGCGCTGTGTGCCATTATCCACCGATATCGCCCTGACCTCATGTAAGAGACTGAATGTTAAGTTGAAGAGGGCATCCTGATGTTAGATGGTCCGAATAGTGTGGGGGTTGGGAGAGGAGTAAGAATTGCTGGATGAGGCCAATGACCCATCTAGTCAGCATTCTCTTGTCATAGTGGCCAACCAGATGCAAGGGGGAAGCCTGCAAGCAGGAAACGAGCAAAGATCACTCCCCTCCTGTAGTATTCAGAAGGAAACTGCTTCCAGCCATGGAGGCAAAGCATAGCCCTCATGGCCAGTAGCTGTTGATAGCCTTGTCCTCCATAGAAATGAGAGGGGATAATAAGAATGGTGGCTGCTAGTGGGAGGATTTTGTAGTTTCCTAATGATTAGTGGATTGGGACGCAGGTGGCGCTGTGGGTAAAAGCCTCAGTGCCTAGGGCTTGCCGATCAAAAGGTCGGCGGTTCGAATCCCCGTGGCGGGGTGCGCTCCCGTTGCTCGGTCCCAGCGCCTGCCAACCTAGCAGTTCGAAAGCACCCCCGGGTGCAAGTAGATAAATAGGGACCGCTTACCAGCGGGAAGGTAAACGGCGTTCCGTGTGCTGCGCTGGCTCGCCAGATGCAGCTTTGTCACGCTGGCCACGTGACTCGGAAGTGTCTCCGGACAGCGCTGGCCCCCGGCCTCTAGAGTGAGATGGGCGCACAACCCTAGAGTCTGTCAAGACTGGCCCGTACGGGCAGGGGTACCTTTACCTTTTAATGATTAGTGGGTATAGAGAAATTAACCTTCAGGCAACACATTTTCTTCCCTCCAGAGACTTTGACTCTCTAGATGAACACAATGTAGAGAAGAATAACCAGCTGGCATTTGACGTTGCTGAGAAAGAGTTTGGGATCTCTCCCATCATGACTGGCAAAGATATGGCATCAGTTGGTGAACCAGACAAGCTGTCCATGGTCATGTATCTCACCCAGTTCTACGAAATGTTCAAGGACTCCCTTCCTTCTGGTGGTAAGAAAACTAGGATATATCTGCTAGAAATAGTTCTTGAACACTGTATGCCAAGCTGGGGATTTTTTCTTTCTTTCAGGGGCCATTGACTCATTCGTGGTGGGCAATCTACAGCTACACACAGTTGTTAATTTATTGATTCATTGTGCGTTTTTAATTGTATTACAAATGCCACAAATATTTAAAAATTGTAATGCCTAGGAAGGCATTTGGGGTGTTGCTGCTTCCTGAAGCTCCTGGTAAGGATCCAGCAGCAATGTTGTAATCTATCCCTGAACTGGAGATGAAGACACATACCTTATCCTCCTATTGGGAATATTTCTGAGGGAAAGGTGGTATGCCTCTCCTAAAAAGAGTTCTGAACAACTTTAAGCAAAAATATCTTAAATGGTCAGTCCTTTTCTAGAATGGAAAAGAGATTGAATAGAATATTGATTTGGGTGTTTTGTGGCATAAAGTGTAGGCAAACTAAAAGTGAGAGGGCAGAGAGAAAAAGGAGGATATAGAATACTAATGCTCATATATGAGAATAAATGGAACTCTCCTTGGGGTGTTTAGTCTCAGATTTTGCTATGTCTCAACTAATCGTATTTGTTTCTGCTCACAGATAACCTGGAACTGAATGCAGAAGAAAAAGCTGCATTAATTGCTACCGCTAAATCTCCAATCTCCTTCTTCAGCAAATTGGGGCAGAGCATCTCTCGGAAACGGACACCAAAGGTAGTCACAGCTGCTTTGGGAATAAATTTGTAGAAAGAGTACTTATGTTTATGCCCAGTTCAGGGACACCCTGATCCACCTTGAGATGCTTTGTTGATGGTGTCATCTAACTTGGAAACATGGGAACCTTCCCCAAATCACTTGTAATTCAGGTTACACAGAGCTAATATGTACACCTAGGACATGCCATCAGCTATTCAGGCACCTGCTTATTTTAGATGAGGAGGTTAGGTATGACTTTCACTTAAAATGCAAAGTAGATTTATTATAGGCATTATTATAGGCTGAGGAAATATGGGCTCAATGTTTTTTCCCCTTTCTCTGCCCAGGATAAAAAGGAGAAGGACCTGGATGGTGCAGGAAAGAGGAGGAAGACAAGCCAGTCAGAAGATGTAAGTAAGAGAGTAGTCTGTTTTGTTTTGTTTCCCATTTTGCCTTCCTCTTCACAGAATGTTCCTCCCAAAAGCAACTGTTCAATTTTCCATGTGCGAGGGAGGGGATTCAGTCATGTGACCCTGCCTCCTACTTCAGCTCAGAAACATGCCCTCTGCCAGGTTTTTGTAAAACCAAATCATCCACCCAAACTGTCAGAGAGGTGTAATTGTTTTGAATACAAAATGCTCCGATTATGGTCACTGTTTTGCTTACTGCAAGATGTTTCCAGCTAAACCTGAGCAGTGTTGCTTTGATATGTTTGGAGGTGAGCTTTCAGGAATATATGAAGATATGCAGTGCATCCTGATAGAGAGATGTACAGTACATTAGCATTTGTAATCTTGAGCAATGGGATTTTTCTCCTTGAATTCCTCTTAATGCTATGGCGTGCAGGGAGAGAGTCAGTTAGCTCAGATGGGCAAGTTCATGTCAGCTTTACTGAAATTTTGGAACTCTCGGGACCCCAGGCAAATGTCTTCCCCATCTTTCAGCTCGAAGATGGAGATTCAACCTGGGGACCTCCTGCATGCAAATATTGTGCTGTCCCACTGAGCTATGGCCCCTTCCTTCTGTTTATCTTAATTTCATTGCACATTCTCATAGCAGAAGCAATTTCGCAGGTAGATGGGCATATAGTGAGCAGGGTAGACTGGCAAGAAGGAAGATGTGTTGAAAATTAGGAGTGATGCACAAAATTGGAGATATGCGGAAGGTGGCTCTGGAAAGGGAATCCATTAGTGTATAATCCATTTCAATTTGCCAGGAGGACTCTTCCCGAAGCTACCGAGAAGAGAGGCCCACTCTGGTGAGCGCCCTGACAGAGAGGAGAATTGATGCCACCATTGGGAATCAGAATAAAGTGAAGTCCATGGCAACACAGCTGCTGGCCAAATTTGAGGAGAATGCCCCCGCACAGTCCACAGGCATCCGGAGACAGGTAGGAAGAGGCTTTTCAGCTTGAATGTCATTTGCACCTCAGCTAATGGCTTAGCTAGCAGGATGTTTTGGGTTTTTCTGGCAGGGAGAATCTGGAGGCTTGTTGGCTTTCACCAGGGTACCTCCTTGTTCTCAAATAAGTCATATAGGTGAAACATCTTAAGGATAGAGAGGAAACTCCATCCTTAGTAACTACTGTTCTTGCACTTATGGGTTTTGTACTGTTTTGATAGAGGGCAGCTTTTCTAAAGCAAAGAGCTGCTTGCATGTTGCTCCATCTTTGCCCGAAGGATTAGGACGGTTCTTCAGTTCTGGAGGTTTAACCAGGCTTTCGATTCATGCAGATTTCTGTGTGATGATACTGTTGGCTTCTGCCACCCCCATTGGTTCATATGCATGTTTTATGCCCCATCCTGGGAAATGCAGCTACATGAGTTGTGTGTGTCAAGTGAGTCATCTATGAGCTAATCTTTGGTGCGTTGCCATCAGTTGAACATATGAGAGAAGGCTCCCCATCGTTTGCCCTGTGAATCACTCCACACATAACCAGATTTCCTGTTTAGAAAAGCAGTTCCTCCTAGCTGGAGTGCTGCACTCATCACCTTGGCACCCTGTGTAATTTTAACCTGCTTGAGCGTAGCTGGGAAAGTTAAATAATAAAATAAATCTGCGAGCATAGAAAATCCGTTTTATAATATACTGCAAGCGGAATCATGTTTTCACTTGCAATTCTGTCATAGGAATGTCTTCAGGGCAAGGGAGTACACATGGACTAAAACAAATTCATATGGCTGAGGCAAGCATGCTGTCCTGCATATCCCAGGAGAAGATCCAAAACACCAAATGGGCCATAGGAAAACATTTTTCTGTCCCTTTAATATGGTGTTTTCTGAGTGTGAAAGTAAGAGAAAGCGAAGAGGCTTTCAAAAAGAATGTTTTAGCCCTCTAGCAAAGTGCCTGTTCTTTTACCCCTCCTTAAATTGTGTCCATTTCGGTTCTTCAGGAAGGTGGGTAGAAAAACCCATCAAAGCCTAGCAGTAGAGAATCCTTCCCGAAGCCAATAATCTCGGTTAAGATGCAAGATTTTGGAGTCTTATCCATCACGGTTTGAGAATGAATATGCAGCTGCTTCACTCTCAATTCTTGAGAGAATTCCAGGAATGTTTGGTTCTCTAATAGTTTAAACCCCTTTCAGCTGCAACCTAACATTATTAAAATAAAACATTCCAAATTTAATAAAATGTGGCCCTCTATATCTTAAGTTCGCATCTTCCTTTTTTCTTTACTTTTCTCCATTTTCATACGATTTTATTTGCCAACTAATTTTTCCTTACTCCGTTGTTTTTTCTTCTTCTTCTCCTAAATGTCTGTCTGCTGACCACCCTGCCCCAACATTTACCTCATCCCCTTGTGGGTTTCTTTGTGAGTTTCGTTTTGCGTTTGGTGTTAATGCCCTCTGTGGCCTCCATCCTGCTTATTCTATGACCTGCATGCAACAGTCTGCCCAGCCTTATCAAGACCGTGCTCTCACCCAGCCAGCCTACCGACAGCGAGAGCAGGGCCGCTTTGCCCCCATGCCTCAGTGGAAACAGGTAAAACGAAACCGAATGAATGACTGTGATGCTCAATCCATCTAAGCTACCACCCCATTGGCTGCTGCTTTTCCATACCAAATTTCCAGGTTATTCTTGTGGACTGGTACTGTTTTAAAATGGAAAGCCTGCATGTAATTTGACAGTAGGTGTGGCTCACATTAAAGGGCTATGTTATCTTTTCACTTTCTCCCTGTTCCTGACCATTGGTGAATATTTGAGCAGAAGTTGTGCTCGCTTATCCAGCTAGGGGCTACTCTTGTAAATGAGCCTTAGGGAACTCAGTCTATGTTTGCTTAGCTGTTAATTTGTGTAATCCAGATTTGATTTCTGGAGTGTTCAAGAGCGGGTTGGGTAAGCAGTTAATGTGTCTTGACAACATGTTCTGGTATCCATGAGGATCAGTCAAAGGGGAGATCCTAAACATTGGAAAATAGAATGGGAGAGTTAGCCCTTTGTCTGAAGTAAGAGATAGAGAAGAGAAATGTTCCTTGCTCATATTAGCAGGTTGAGGTCATTGTGTACTGATCACATTTCTTACTGCCTATGATAGAACCCTGAACTATCCATTTTCATTGAAACTGGTAAGGCTTTTGTCATTCTTGCCATGGACTTTGATCTTCATCTTCGGAGGCATTGCTTTCTTTGAAATAACTATTCCACTTGCAACAGACAAGATATTGACAGCTGTTTTCGTATTTAATTTTTAAAAGCTCTAATATTCTCCATCACTCTCAACTGAGGAATTTTATTTTACTTTTTAAATTGGAATTGAATGGTAGTGTCAGTAAAAAAAACACACCAATCCAACCCAAGTTTGCCTGATTGGAATAGATAATTTAGGAAACAGATTTTATCACCTTCTGCTCTGGCTTGTGGTTGCTATACTAGCATTATTTAAAACATATTTTGTATATAGATTCTTTGTAATGTAATGATGGCAGGGCTTTCTCATCCCATGATGCGTTAGCATGAGCAAATAGAAATCATTTCAGAAATAGCTTGTGCGTCAATACACTTTTTGTAAATACTGTTTCTATATTCAAGAGATCTGAAAAAGGGATGCGTGACAGTGATACAGCTTCTGATATTATTTCCTCCCTTCAAATGTGCTTAACATATAGATGGAAGCGGGGGTAGAAATGAATTAAGGTCCCCAGCCTGCAACCCCAGTAAGCTCATGTTGCTGACCATTTTCTTTTCATCAATCATCATCTGCTATTCATCGCACTCCATTCCATGGAGTGTCCACAAATATGCTTTTACTTTGGCTAGCTGCCATTCGGCCAGAATGCACAGGCCTCCACCCTTTTCTGGCCAAAGTTGTGCATGCCTTTTGAAGGCAATGGAGGTGAGGGCACTTCATCCAAGCCAGTTAGATACTTTTGAATGTAGCAGAAATTCAGCTCAAGCTGTCTAATAACTAGGAAACATGAGCTGGGTTCAGTACCATGAACCACGGAAATGGTTTGCTGGAAAAGAGATTTTTCAAAAGGGCAGGTTGACTTTCAATTTAGCATGTCATTAAAATCTAAGAATCTTGCAACAGCCCCGTGCATGTTTAATTGGTTGTATTGAACTGAATTGTTCTTGCTGCCAAGTAGGTACACCTAAGATCACAAACTTAGATCCACATAACCCATACACATGTGACTTGCTACTTTCTGTTTGTCTAGACTGGTATTTTCCAGATTTGTCTTTTTGGCCTAAGTTCATAGCCATAGCCTAGATTCGAATTTTCATAGCTTCACTGGGATATTGTTATCCACATAAATCCCATGGTTATTGCTATTGGTTTTGATGAGAGAGTGCTGTTGGCCTTGCCAGAGATTTTAGGGTGTAGGCAAACCTGCTTTGGCTGGGCATGTTCTTGAGGCATTTCACTCTTGCCTGATTTTCAAGTACAGTTAACAGAATAATTTTGGTACTTTCTGTTAACATTCTTCAGGCTTTTTTGAAGGCAGATAGACAGGTTTTTCCAAACTTCAGTTTAGACACTTAGATATGGTGAATCAAATCCAACAGTTCAGATGGAAAGCACCTGTCCCTCTTGCCTAGAAGGTTCCAGCATGTCAGATGTAGCATCCTATGTTTTCTTTCTTGAGAAGACATGGCAGAACTGGTATTTAAGAATTCTAGGAGACACTTGAATGAAAACATGGCCCGGGTCATAGGGAAAGATGTGGCCAGCAAACCCTGTTCTCTCTTGCTTTTCACCTGACCCTGATTTTTGCACCTGATGAACTGGCCCCTCAGTTTGCTGCTATTTATACAGGTAATCAACTTGATTCATGAGTCCTGTTTACCCCCATTGATTTAAGAAATGCAGTCAAGTATGTACACAGCCTCTGTACTAGTTCTCGTTGCCTAATTTTTCTTTTAGCGCTATAGAGAAAGTATACAGTACAATGAAAAGTACCTGCACAATGCAAGTCATGGGTATGTGAATTAAGGAAGGAACTCTTAAAATAATCCCTGAGCCAATGTGTTTTTTGTTTTTACTGCTCCACCAACACTTTGGTCAACTCATCCACCTTTTTTTGCAAGAAAATATCCATGATCATGCTACGAGTTTCTTAAGCTCTTAAAGAAATGGGATTGAATTACCTGCAGGAGTTATGTGCATGATTATAAAATATCCTTGCCTCTAATGGTTACTCTTTGAGGATTTCTTGATTGGTCTCTTATTAAAATGAGCTGAATCTGCTGTGCTGCTAGGGGAGGTGGAAACCCAAGTTATTACGTGTCATAAGATTAATTGTGTCTTTTTGGTAATTCCAATGAACTTCATCTCATTCTCTTAACTTCATCATTCATTTGCATACTTACATCACTTGAGAGAGGTGTGGTGTGTGTGTATGTGTGTGTGTGTGTGTGTGTGTGTGTGTAAAACAAAGGAAGCCTGTGAAACTGGAAGTTGCTTGTTTGAAGGCTGGGGTCAGAGGGTGGTAAGATCAAGGAATATATCTGCATATATGGATATGCAGTAAACACACTCATTTTGGTAATGATAACACCCAAAGATCCATTTGAGTTGAAGTGACCAGAGCCAGCCATTAAGATGGAATAGAACTATGCCAGCCAACTTGTTTATGTCAAGTGGAATCTTCCTCCATTTTATACTTATTAATGTGAGCATCATTTACTACTAGCCTTTTCTGAACTCTGAAATGCATCCTACTTGAAGATGGAAAACAATGTTCTAATTATAGGAAGGCCAGCAAGAGTTTCAGCCCGCTTTACGTTTGTGTGACTGCCACCTTAACAAAAAAACAACAAACATTATTCTCTTAGCTAATTTTTTTTTTTAGAAGGCTATATGAGTAGGACATGATCTGGCTAAACTTTGTGGGAGACAGTCAATGAGGTCCTGGGTTTTATTAAGGGTCCCCATTAGATTTCTCCTTTCCCCCCAATTTGAACAGTGACGGGAAACATTCCTAATGTGCCATATGGATGTTGACAGCTCTTGACCTGCAGGAACAATACACAAATCTTTCCCTTTGGGCTTTAGATTGCCCAGAGTTAAAAGTGTTTAAGATTCATATTTTAAGAAGGACTTTTGGATTTGCATAGTAAAAAAAAATAAAAAATCCAAAGTGGACCAATATTTTCAAAATAAGCAACATTAGTGGTGGTGGTGTTTATATACTGCTTTTTGAAACAGAGCACCCCCCCCAGGAGGGCATTTTATACAACAAAATACACAGTCAAGTGCAATTTTAAAAATCACTGCACTTTGGGTTTTGGGTGGACTAGAAGGGGGTACCAACCCCCAACCCCCAGTACACATAAATATGAGCACCAGGAATGAACGAAGATTTGCATATTTTTTGTCATGTCAACATTCAGCCTCCAGCATTTAGGGTGCAGCAAATAAAAGTTTGGTACAGTGGTGCCTCGCAAGACGAAAATAATCCGTTCCACGAGTCTAGTGGTTTTTTCGTCTTGCGAAGCAACCCTATTAGCGGATTAGCGGTTTAGCGGCTTAGCGACTATTAGCGGCTTAGCGGCTAAAAGACTATTAGCGGCTTAGAAAAGGGGGGGGGGAGCGAAAAAACCCGCAAGACTCTCAAGACGAAAACGTCTTGCGAAGCAAGCCCATAGGGAAATTTGTCTTGCGAAGCAACTCAAAAACGGAAAACCCTTTCGTCTAGTGGGTTTTTCGTCTTGCGAGGCATTCGTCTTGCGGGGCACCACTGTACAATTTCTTTATTTTATGCCCTGCACCTTTTGGTGTGTGTTACATTTGAAAGGAACAGGATATTCTGTAGCTCAACAGCAGCTGCATAAAATTGCCCTTTTTAGACATGGGCCAATTTGATGCCTTTGAGATTCCAAACAGAACTACTTATATTTGAATCCCTGTTACCTGAATTTCATCTATATAACCCTCATGTCACCGGTTGGTTGAGCCATTCAGATAAATGAGGCATCATATAATGGCCAGCTATGCTTGTAGTGACACGGGGACTTCAAATGACATTGTCCACCTCATGAGGAAATGCAGCTCACTTGCATTGATGCGCAACAACGCTGGTTCCTACTTGTCAACTGAGAAAGAGAAGCAAGATCAACATCCTCCGCACGATGCATTTCTGAGGCCTTGCCCACACACAGACACAGTGGTGGTGGTAAAATTATCCCTGGACAACTTTAGATAGGCAACCATATGGTTGAATGAAAAATTCCCTGCTCTTATGCCAGCTTTCTGTTAGGCAAAGGCTGTGCTACTTGGTAGTACTTAGTTTTTGTGTGTGCTGAGGGACCATTCCGAGCCCTTCCACTGAACAGTAACCTGAACAGGTGTAATCCAGAAAGAATTTTAATATTTCATCCGCTGTTTGGGGAAACTTTAGTCTGTGGCCTTGCCACAACTAATAACCATCATCATTGACCATGTTTCTTCTTGTTCTATTACTATTACTATTATTCTTTTTTTTCTCCCCTGTTTGTAAACAAAGATGAGGAAAAAGGAGCGTTCTCGGACCTGCCCCAAAAAAGTGATCATGCTCTCTTCTTCTTCCATTTGCACTTCCTCTCCATCGTACCCCAGTCAGCAGGTGATTTCATTCTGCATGCTCTGTCCTCCTTTCCCTCTCTTCCTGCTTCCACAAGTAGGCCATGCACCCCTTCTTTTGAGTTTTCTCCTAAAACTGAATAGTGTCAGCAGACCTCTTGATCTTCCCTTCCCCAAAACCAGTAACACAAGCAAACCCAGAATTCCTTTTATCATTGTTTGATTTAAGGTAATGTACACATATAACTTCTTACATTCTGTTGTTACGGTTACATTGTGTAGTAGGTTGGTGTACCAAACAAAAACCTGAGATCTTAGTAAAGGTTGCTGTTGATAGTGCCCAGTTGTTATATTGGGTGCTGTAAGAGGAGTGACACACTGGTTTCTGGATCTAAAATGAGCAGTCTAGGTGGCCTTCAGCTTGGTTTTGCATTGTAATGAGAAGAGAAGCATAATGTAATGCATCTGTAGGCTTCCCATTCATTGCTGAGATTACAGGAGCATCCTTTATCCATCTGTTTGTTTATTTGCATGCTACCTTTCAGAGAAATGCCACTCACTCCCAAGGTGGCTTACAAAAGATATTTCAGGACAATTTAGCGGTTTAGGATATTTTCTCTCCCCTGCCCCCATTAAATACCACTGAAAGGGGTGTCCTATCTCAGGATCAGAGGTTATCCTGGACCTTACTTTCTCTCTAATGAAAATAAGTTAGATAATGTGCCTAAACCTGCCTTCTCTGGCCTGGTCTAGTACAACTCTCATTACCCCAGACCATTAGCCGTGTTGGGTAGGGTTGATGGAAGTTGGTGGTCCAACAACATCCTCAGGGCACCAGATTGGGGAATGTTAGCCTTGAAGCAGATTCTTACATTTGGCCTGTGATGTGGGAACTGCTACAACGCTTCTCCCATAGCAACAGGATGACTTTGTTAAAGGGGTCGTGCAGACATCCTACGATTTGCTAGAATGTAAACCCATTGTTGTTGCTACATTACTTAGAAGTTGGGGGAGGCCAGGATGCTCCCCACTTCATGAGAATGACAAGGAATTCCAAAACATAGCCCCCAAAAGTCCTCCAGGTTTTACCAATCCTAGCCTGCTGCGGTTTCCCTTACTTTCCTAGTGTGTTGTGCTGCTCTTACTTACCTCCACCAACTGACCATAGTACCACTAATCAGCATGGCAGTCGTCTAGAATGCCTGGGCCCAGCTGTTTTACCTGGCTTTGGGACCTTGGGAAGCCTCCCCCATTTCCTGGTCACCCTCCCTCACTGACGTTGTTAAAACATTCCTCCAAAGTAGTTTATTGTTGAATACTTTGTTCAAATCAGGCACCCCAGTTACATGATTGTGTCAAAAATGTGGGGGCCTTGAATCAATTTATAATAAATGGTTTTATTTGAGTTTTTATAATAAAATTAGATAACAGTGCAAAATACACTGATACAATACAGGGCAGTCATACAATTCATCTCAACATCAATTACATATTTTATTGGTATCACGCCATGTTGAACGTTCCATTTGTGCAAGCATTGCAACTTGCTGAAAAGAATAATTCCTTCTCTCTTCTCCTCCCCAGCGTGCTACTGTCGGGGTTCTCCTGGCCCCCACTCCCCAGCCAATTTCAGGGGGAGCAGGGGGTGGAGAGGAGGGGAAACCCATTGCACAAGGGGGAAGTCCTCGTGCAGGACATTCACTAACTGGGTTTGTTTTGTTAGGTGAAGCATGGTACAGAGTTTACCCCAGGAGTTCCCTCCATAATGTCAGGGCCAAAATAGTATTATTCACAAATGCACACTTATTCTGAGGTCCGCAACGTAGAAAATGGTTTACTTACAGTTGGAAAAACTGGGTCATCTTCTCTTGCTTGATCTGCAAGAAGAGTTAGCTTCTAAATGGGAAACTTACCACTCAGTCTTGTAAACTATTTGTTTTTAAGGTGTTTTATATTTCATATATAGTTGCATTGACTCACAAAACTGGAAAGTTGCAGGACACACACACACACACACACACACACCTATTTTGTCTTATGAAGTATGAGCAGGTTTGTGAGTTTCTGGGAGCTACATTTTTATAAAACCATACCTGTGTGTATAGAGGATAATCAAAGCTGCCTCCAGGTGTCTGCATTCTTGGGGCAGGGAAGATTACGGTCTGTCTTATCGTAGGATACCACTGTGGATTTCGCAGGCCAGGGTGCCTTGTTTCTTGTGCACGTTGAGGGGAGCCCAGGCTCTTCAAAATAACCTTTGAATTAAAAACAGACTTGATTACTTAAGCTCAATGGACATATCTCACTTTGCCTCTAAAGTTCTCTAAAGTTTATTCCTCATATAACTTTTAAAACTAGGATTTTCCAAGGAACAATTTACGGTTTCTTGGGAGCGGTTCCTTCTTCTGCCACCACGTGTATCACTGTGTGGATATTTATTGCTGTTGTCACCATTTACTAACACAGTTTGTATAAAGTATTGTTTTTAACAGCTCGGCACAAAACCTCTTTCTTCACAGCAGCCACATGATCTTTGCAAACCTCCTATGGCTTTTCCAGGACTGTGGTTTTAATGTTTCTCTTGTAGGGTGACTCCTAACTGAACGATGCTATCTTTCTGTGAGTGTGTATGTGGGATTTGTCAAGGTCATTATTTTGCCTGCAGGCAAACAGGGAACCTCATGGAGAACCAGCTGGAGAGCAGAGTCCCAGACAGCAGCGGGTAAAATAGCATGAGCAAAAGCAGCATGAAGAGGGTGTGTGCACTCTTGGGATAATGTTTTGCAAGCTGGGGTGGGTAAGAGAAGGCTGGAGAGCTATTCATATGCCAGCATAATACTAATAGCCAAGCTCTACTGAAAATGCTCCGTAAAAATAGTGGTTTTGTGTCTGTGTGGCCTTTGCAGAATTACTTGCTTGACAGGCTTGTGATCACTTTGAGCATCATGCAGTATGGTTTTTTTCCGTCGGGCACATATTAGCACTTTGAATTTGGCATTCCCCATTTTTCTCTATAATAGGAGATACTATAGTGGAGTAGAAAGGGCCTGTTGATGTGTCGGAAAATATCTATCCATCTATCCGAATCATTATTACCTCGTTCTTCAGCCAAAAAAGCTCCCAGAGCAGCTTACAGATCAATAAAAAGCTAGACAGTCCTAGCCCTCAGGCTCACCCTTTAAAAGGAATGGCACAAAATGAAAAAGGGATGGGGCAGAAAGAGGAAACAAGACAATGCAGGAACCAGTTCTTAGTTTTATTATTTACAAAAAGGACTAACAATTGTTACTCCCTGTGGAACACACTCCCATCTGATGTCAAGGAGATAAAGAACTACACAACTTTTAGAAGACATCTGAAGGCAGCCCTGTATTGAGAAGTTGTTGTGCGCTTTATCGTGGTTTTTTGTGGGCTGGAAACTGCCCAGAGTGGCTGGGGAAACCCAGCCCGATGGGTGGAGTATTAATAATAATAATTGTCAGGGGTTCAGGGAGAGAGGCGCAGATGAGGGAGGAGACTGAGAGCGAGGGGGAAGGATCCCAGGGCGACGAGGAAGAAGATGACAATGAGTCGAGGAGTTCCATGAGTCTCTCCAGTGAATCGGAGGATTCCCAAAAGGGAGCGCCCCTGGTCAGGCCAAGGGGAGCCACAGGGGGGAGTAGTCAGGAGCAGGGCAGCAGCAGGGGAACCCCCAGTGGGAGTTGGAGATCGGGACCGGCTTCTCCGCCGGAACGGAGTGAAGGGGGTGGAGTTCCCAGTGTGTCAGACGGAGCAGAGCAGGAAGCAGAGAGGGGAAGGAGATCGGGGCAAGACGTCCTGCCGGAAGGGGCAGAGAGTAGTACCGAGAGCAGTGTAACTGTCAAAAGGAAGGTCAGAAGCAGCGTACGCGCGCCAAGTTCAAATGTGGAGGCGCGCGGAAGTGAGGAGAGCCCGGAGGAGGAGCCTGGTCCCAAAGCAAGGAGGAGGGGGAGCAGGCGTCAGAGGATTCAGCCTCTGGGGAATCCCGGAGGGAGGGAACCCAGGGGGGCAGAAAGACCCTGCGGAAAAGGAAGGAGAGGAAGAGGTGGTCCAGCGCAAGCCTCTTAAACTGGTGTAGAGGCGGGACTGATTCAGAAGGGACTTCAGCGGTCTAAGCCTAACAGACGTGGGGTCACGCGCCTCGGATGTGGAGCTAACAATGTTCTTCAATAAAAGCTTTTGTACATAAGCTGGACTTGGCATTGGTCTCTTGTGAGCTGGGACCTTGGGTGGCCCTGACATTAATAATAATAATAATAATAATAATAATAATAATAATAATAATAATAATAAAAAGCTGGGATAGAAACAGTTCACATAGCCTGATGGAATGCACAAATAAATCTTCATTACAGTAGGGAGAAAGGGACATTTTTAAGCACCCCTCCACAAAAGCTTACAAAACTAAATTAACTGGATTAAGCTTGGACCAAAGTAGAACATGCAAGGAAAGAGAATGAATTGACATAATAAAGGCATGGATCGATGCTGCAGTCTGCCTGCTCAATATATTTCTAAAAGCTGCTCATCACAGTAAATAATTTTGAAAAGGAGCTCTACACAAAACAGTTTTGAGGATACTGAGAATTTTGTGTTAAACATCACTAGCCCCTCACAGAGAACTATGCCTTTGCCATTGTTTCCCTTCCATGACCCATCTCTTCACCACTAGCTTGGTATTGCATCCAGTCTCCAAAACAACCAGGTTAAAAAGTTGGAGCGAGGGAAGTGAGGAAGGAAAACCCAGAGGTTTTGTCCCTGTGTCGATATTGCATCTGCCGGGCTTCCCTGCCTCTATTCACTCCCTACCTCTCAGTAGTGTGCGTCACTACAGACAGCAAGTGCCCTTCTCCAGATCCCTGTGACACACCTGTATTTCACAGCAGCTAAACTATGACGCTGCTTTGGCGGCACAATCTTGGCTCCTTTTCCTGCTGCTGTAGGATTCGTAAACCACAGCTTCCAAAAGTCACAGCCCTCTGCATGCTTCCTGAGCAGTAAACCTATTTAAATCAGTGACTTCCAGAGTAGACCTAATTTGGATTCGGCTACCGTAAATGGTTTGTGTTATATGTATGTCACATCTGTGGTGTGTGTGTGTGTGTGTGCAACCTTCATCCAGAGGATTTTGAGCTCTTGTTCCCCTCCTTACCCCTGTGTCGCACTTTTATTTTAATGCACAAGCATTTAATTAACTGCCTCTGACCTTATTTTCAGCTTTGTTTCTTTTCCTACTGCCATGCTTTTTCCATGAATATTTCCCCCCCTGTGCTCTCTTGTTCATTTTCCCTCACTCATTATTCTGCAGAGACCTCACCAGTTCTTTTCAGATGACCGTGTGCCAGAGCGCACGCTTACCATTGAGCAGAGGGCAAGCCAGCTGGCTGCCCTCCTGGAGCAAAGGCCAGCAACCAGGCATCAGGTGACTGCCTTCCTGTCTGTCTGGCGCTTTGTGTCTGCTTGCCGTTCCATAGAATGGGAAATGAAAGGTTGCTTGGGCTGTAACATGGCTGGCATCAGATGTCCTGTTTTAATGGCTGATGAGTACACTATCACATTGTAGCAGAACACTTTCAAGCACTCTGGGTAAAACAACAACATCCAAACTCATTATTCCGTCTTTCCTGTTAACTTACTGTTCCTGCTTGCTGAATCAACACTTAATCTTGCGTAGATGTGTCTAGCACTAATAAAAAGATGTGTGGCATATGTGGGGAAGGAGCTTTTGAGAGTTTGCACTTCCATAGAGTAGGGTAAAATCTGTATAGAAAGACTCCACTAGATTCAAGAAGTGTTGGTGGAGCGTTACTTAGCCAGTCTGGAGATGAAAAGCGACTGCGGTACGTAACTAGGTTTCAGAAGCAAGGTTCTATAAAATTAGCATGCTAAAGAGTAACCCAAAACAAATGAAACCAGGAAGTTAACTAACCCCAGAACAGCCTTTATATATAAACCAAATGGGCTTTGAAAACTTGTTTATTTCTTTAAGCAATATATACATTCTTTCTATACGCCCTCTAATTTTTAAACATGTATGTCAGTGCCAATATTCAATCATATATCATCAGTTGCTGATCAGAATTTATTTTCTGACCCTGCGTGGGCTGTTATAATGTATTTCATCTTGTTAAACTCTGGAAGGTCTAATATCAATTGCTTTTAGTCATTTTGCCAAACAAAATAATGATGGGGTAAAAAGAGACTATTGAATGCAAGCACATGCATTTTGCCATGTGTCTTGCTTAACAGTCTTGCAGTCTCTTTTACCATGCAGAAATTTTAGAAAGTTGTTTCTTTTCAACCTTCTTATTAGGAATTTTTGGTATTGCTTCATGATTGGAATAGAATTCCTCGTATTTTATTCAGGATACATCCAGCCCACAGTTCTTTATAAATCCATTCATTTCTAAAACTTGAAAGACAAGCATCAGGAAGGTCATTCACAGCTGAAATTAGTACATGGATATGGTATTCCACCATCCCCCCCCCCCCAATTATCAATGTTCTGAACTTTGGCTGGGGAGTTTAAAAGTAGTAGAGCATGCCCACAGTTTTCCTACGTCACTTGCAAGCTACAAGATCTCTGCTGCCTTTCTCAACCGCCCCTTCCCAAAAGCTCCTATCTATTTTGAAATGCCGTCTTCTGACTTTCTCATCTTTATTTTGTAGCCAGAGATTGAGCGATCTCGTCGATCTGTTGTTGAGCAGTGGGAGCTCTCCCGCAACCTCCGCTCTTCCAGTCGCCCTTCTTCTCCCTCTTCTGACTCCCTCAGACAGGTAGCATGGTGTGGGGCTTGAGGCTGCACCCGGTTGCACATCTTTGGCCTATTCCATCTCCTGCCACTTGAGAATGCCGCACTGGATAAAGCTAGGCTCATAAGTTCTCTTTGCCTTGGGTTGTGGCTGAGCTTAGCCTGTGTGCCTGCAGAAAGGCTTGGGATTCCTCTGTATCCTGGCTATTCCAAGGCTTGTGAATTTGGAAATGGTGCATATCCTTTACACCTCAGAGTTACTGATTGTCTGGTAGGAGTGAGAGCAATGGCTAGCAAACATTTCACAAAGAATATTGTATGTCTCATCCAGAACTGGCTTGTTCTGCCTTCAGATAAGTAAAGGCATACCCTGGAATGCACTCACCCAGTTGGGAGATGTGTTGGGTCCGAATCACCCAGCCATAGTTTGATCGTCAGGAGTCCTTTGTGGGCTTAAATGCTTCTTCCTCTGCTTTCTCCTGCATCTTCCTTGGGCTTCTTCACTTCACTTTCATGTTCTCCGTAGCTATATCTTGGTTTTATTATAATGTTTTGAACAGGCGCTGCCATAATCACTTCTAACTATAATTTGTTGTCAAGTTGGCAATTAAAACCAAGTTCAAATTGTGGTTTGAGTCACTCAAATGAGAACAAAATTAGGCTAGCAGTAATTATGACCTGCTAGTTTAACCATGGCTTCCCAATATATCTTTTGCTATGCGGGGAAGGGAAATGGAATAATACAGACTGCTACTGACCACCAAACCATGGTGATGTTGGAACTGGACCATTATGTCAAACAGCCATTTCTGGCTACTAAGGATCCACCAATAAGGTTTCATTGTTGCCAAGAGTGGGATTCACTGTGTTGTCTGTCTCTTAACAGCTGTTTCTAGCACTGGATTTTCTGTGACCCTTGAACAGCTACATGATGAATAAATGCTTGTTTGCTGCTTCACTTTGAGGATGTGATTCAAACCACTATATTGCTTTGTGTGTCTTATAATATAACAGATTAGTTGTGGTTTGATTTTTGAACAGCGTAGTGAATACTGAAATGCTTGCTGCTTGCCTCATCTAGATTAAGGTTTAAGGGATTTCTGATTGTTCTGTAGGAAGAGCTATACTGTATTGGTCATTGTGTCACTAAATGTTGTCTAATTCTTCAAGATGGGCATGGGGAATGTGGACACCTGTCTGTTGTAGAACTAATATTTCATTTTAAACAACGTAGTCTTGCTCTGAGAATTCTGTAGAGTTTTTATGGGAGAGATGGATTCAAATCGATGTTAGGCAAATGTAATAATCTTTAGCATGGGTAAGAAGCACCATCTTTTAGAGCAGATAGTCCCCTCTGTCTGCTTGTTGAGTGGGGAAGAGAAGGACTCGCCAACCAAGGCCTTCCCTTCAAAAGAAAACTTGTGGACAATAGACCTGTTTCTGACAAAGCAACCACATTGCCCCTCATTTGGTTTCCCATGCTGTCCCCTCTTCTCATACATAAACAAGACCTAGGGTAGAAATAGGCTGAAAATTCTCACAATTGTTGGAAATAGGTCATGGAATCCCCCAAAGATATGTATTGGGACAGTCTATGAGGAAGTCTGTAGCTGAAGAGATTTGTTTGGCACACAGTCCACACACAAAAGAAAAAAATAGAAGAGGCTGTCTTAGAGACAATAAGACTGTGTAACTTGCCCACAAATGATCTGGAAGTCATCAGTGAAAGCCAACTTTGCAGATGGCACCAATTTATAGAGCATGATGAAAACCTGAGCAGACGGTGAAGAGTTCCAAAAGAACATCTCCAAATGAGGTGAAGGGGCAAAAAAATGTGCTAATAAGTGTAAAGTGATACATATTGGAGCAAAACATTCCAATGCTGATTGAGTCTAAACTGGCTGAGACTGTCCAAGAATGACAATTTGGAGCTGCGGTGGAGAGCTCAATCAAAACTTGGTGCAGCAGCTGTGGAAAGACAAATTCCAATACAGTGGCACCTCGGGTTACAGACGCTTCAGGTTACAGACTCTGCTAACCCAGAAATAGTACCTCGGGTTAAGAACTTTGCTTCAGGATGAGAACAGAAATCACGCGGCGGCAGCGGGAGGCCCCTTTAGCTAAAGTGGTGCTTCAGGTTAAGAACAGTTTCAGGTTAAGAACGGACCTCCAGAACGAATTAAGTACGTAACCAGAGGTACCACTGTATTGTAGAGATGGATAAGTGGTGCAAAAGAGGCACCAAAATACCAGTCAAGAAGTTGGGTGGGCATTCCAGGCAAGGCTTGTATGTTTGGGGTCTTTTAATTTAGAGAAGAAATACTAAGGGAGACACCATATAAGGTTATAAGATTAATATATACTTTTCAATATCTACAGGGCTTCTAAGTGGTTTACAAAACATTAAAACCAGTTGCACAACCTTGTTGAAATACAGAATAATGAAAAATGCACCATAATTGAAATACACAATAAATTCATCCCATTAAAATGTTAAAATAGAAACATGTGATTAAAATATGGAATAAAACTATTGCATTAAAACACCACAGCAATTAAAACAGGAGACTTGGGTCAAGAGATGTAAGGAATGCCTATATAAACAGGTGCGCCTTCAGAAGCTGGTAGAATACCAATACAGATGTAGAATGCACTACCCCAACACCTGTGCCATCAATAATACATGATGCGGGGAAAATGTGGGAATGTTTTTCCCTCTCATAAAACAAGAACTCTCTTAATGAAATTGTCAGTAACAGATATTACATATTTTTTCACACAATATGTAATAAACTTAGGGAATTCACTGGTGTCATAAGATGTGGTGGTCAATGGCTCAGATTGGTTTCTTTTAATGACTTGTTCATTTTTTAATTAAATTTATATATCACACATCCTACGAAGATCACAGGACAGTTTACAACATAAAAACACAAAATGGAAACAACAACACACACACCACCTTTAAAAGGCCATAGATTGTTTTACAGAAGGCCTGGTTGAAGAGAAATGTTTTTGCCTGGGTCTAAAAGCAGTCATGGACGCGGGTGGCGCTGTGGGTTAAACCACAGATCCTAGGGCTTGCCGATCAGAAAATTGTGGTTCGAATCCCTGCAACGGGGTGAGCTCCCGTTGCTCAGTCCCTGCTCCTGCGCACCTAGCAGTTCGAAAGCACGTCAAAGTGCAAGTAGATAAATAGGTACCGCTTCGGCGGGAAGGTAAACGGCGTTTCCGTGCGCTACTCTAGTTCGCCAGAAGCGGCTTAGTCATGCTGGCCACATGACCCGGAAGCTGTACGCCGGCTCCCTTGGCCAATAAAGCGAGATGAGCACCGCAACCCCAGAGTCGGCCACGACTGGACCTAATGGTCAGGGGTCCCTTTACCTTTAAAAGCAGTCATGAGAATTTACACAGATTCATGGGGGTTATGGATCTTTCAAAATGTGTTGATCTATCAGCAATTAGCTGCAATTTGAAATACCATATATCAGTTGAGAGTCCTGTTGACTTCAGGCCCTCCGCCTGACCAGTCTTCTGATCCCTCAGCTCTATTCTTCCAACAGAAAGGCCCATTAGTTGTTAATAATGTATCTACTTAGGTAAATAGAAGGACTTGCCAATTTTACTCTCTGTTCTTCAGTACAAAGTGCATTGGCTTATAATAAGTGGAATATCTGTTGTTTTTGAAAAGGGCAAACTGTCAAAGGTTCTTGAGCTGAATTTGATATTCTGCTTCCTTCTGAGAGGCTAGGCAACCCTCATCCATCTTCCTCTCCCCATAAACTTAAGGGAGAATTGGGGGGGGGTGCAGTTATATGACTTGCTAGGTGGGACTGTGTGTGAAGATTCTCAGTATCTAAGGTTCTGTAAACTTAATGGCTTGTGCTCCCCCCCCCAATATATTTCTGAAACACTTTCTGAATCTAGTTATCTTTTTGTGTTATACGGTTTGCTGCTTAAATAACAGTTGAAACCAATCGTGTTGTTTTAATAAAAATAAGCAAAGGCAGCCATAAGACACTCCCCTCGCAACTTCCATAGTAAGGAAATACCTTTTTAAGGCCAACCAAAATGTAAAAAAAAAATGAGCAAGCTTTTGGGTTCTCCAGCATTCTTCATAAGCTGGATGTGGGCGAGAAAAAGGCTTGCTTGGTGTTGAAACTACAGTGTCTGCACATTGGCTTCCGACCTGAGGTGGGGTGTGAAAAGAGATAGTGGGCTTAATATCCAACTGGGGAGACGGGGATGAAGAAACACACACTGGCTAAAGACACTAGTATTTTTGCAGCCCTGCAAGAAAGAACATATATCTGAGCATGCAAATTTATTTACACCCCTCTTTCCCTTTTAACTTCTCCTCCAGATATCCTTTCCCCAGACTATGTCATTCCCCAGTCTGATTTTGGATATCATAAATAGCCATGATATCCCAATATGGGTGATCCATGCTACCTCATCCCTGAACCCATAGCACTCGTAGTCACCAATTGTTGGGGTTTCTGTTTGGGGGAGGGGGTCAACAACCAGCAGCTCATGGACTAGATCTGACCCTATGGCAGGACTATGTTCAGCTGTCAATCTAGAGACAAGCATGGTGTTTGGAAAGATCATGGCAGCTGTTATGGGAAACCTTTGTGGGAGATGGGGTTAGAAACACCTTTCATCTCGAACGACTCTCTGGCAAAAGAAAGTCTCTGACCAGGGTCTTAAGAGTGGCTGATTACAAACTGCTAATAATTTTATTTAGTGCTGCCCACAGCAGTGGTTGCTGAGATCACTTGTTTTGCTGGTGCCACACACGCTTGTGTTGTCCACTGTCTTGGCATGGTTTCACCCCTTTCTGCACCTTTTTTGCCATTTTCTTCTTTTTTTGCCATTTTTTTGCCATTTTTTTGGCCATTTTTTTCTTTCGTAGTTTTCATCCTGAATTTATACTGTTTCTCTTTTCCCTCATTTTCCCCATCCATCTTACCTCCCCCCACCCTCATTACCTTCATCTGGTAGAAGTATATAAAGATGTATACAGGTGGCGTGAGCTCATTGGCTGAGCAAATAGCCAATCAGCTTCAAAGGAAAGACCAACCCAAAACCCTTCTAGACAAGAAGGAACTGGTAAGAGAATGATGTTCAGAAGGTGATGAGTATTTGTGATTAGAAGTTAGACAGCTCTTCCTTAGATCCTCAGTAATATGGAGCCTTTAGTTTTCCCTCAGTGTTTAGTTAAAGGTAGCTGATGTAAGCACTTCCTTGCCTGTTCCTCCACTTCCCTTTGTGGGTTCTTGAATTCTTGCTATAAAGAAAATGGATAGTACACAAAAGATCTGTTGCTGAAAGCTTTGGTGTCTTTGGAGTAAATGTGTGGAGATATCATTTGACAGTGGTTGTTTGGAGCTTAGCTTCAGTGGTAATGTGGGAGAAGGATGATTACTATCATAACTGTGTGACCATTTCCACAATTTGTTAGTTGTGTACACTTGGTGTCTCTCATCAACTTTGTGAGGTATGTCATCATTATTCCCATTTTAGAGGCAGGATGTGTGGGAAAGCTAAAGCTGAGAGAATTAAAGAACTTTTAGATCCTTCAGTTCTCCCATATTCCGCCAGACTCTTTATTTTCAGGTGGTTGGGTGCTACACCTTACGGAGTGTGTTCCTTGGCTGACCTTTTCTTCCTCATGTTGGGGCCTTGGAATTATCCATAGGTGCCTGCTTAGTCCTCCGTTTCCCATTGAAGGATTCCAAAACAATCTAATGAATACATATGCCACGACAGTGGAAGTAAAAGTAAGCTCGTGACTCAGTCTAGACCTTTCCTTGTTCTTGCTGCTTTAGGGTTCCTTGAAAAAAGAATTCCCTCCGAATGTGGGAGGCAGTGATGTCTGCTACTTCTGCCACAAGCGTGTCTACGTGATGGAAAGACTGAGCGCTGAAGGCAAATTCTTCCACCGCAGCTGCTTCAAATGCGAATACTGTGCTACAACCCTGCGCTTGTCTTCTTATGCCTACGACTTGGTGGATGGTAAGTGAAATTTACCTTTTGCCTTAGGAGGGGATGGGCAAAAGCTTCAACTGATGGGTTGCATTCAGCAAAATTGTTGTGCAGGTGACTTCTACTTGCATAACATAACTTCCCCTCCTCCCCCTCCTCCTCCTCCTTCCCCCCACTTGTGTCCCCATACCCAAATCTTCTTTGGGGGTTCCCACAGGCTTCTGGGGCAGAGTTTTTTTTGGGGGGCAGGAACTAAGGGAGTTAAAAAAGGAAAGGGTGTTCAATTGTGCAAGCAGAAGTCATTGAGATCACAACATGACTTTTATTGGATTCAGCCCTTTGACTTAGAAATAACCTTCAGGATTCCATATATCTTTAGTATGGTCAGGAAATTATTACATCACTGTTTGGCCCTCTTCAGATACATCATCCAAAATTATTATTGTGCAAGAGGTATTTGTAGAAACTAAAATGCACATTGTAAATACAGTGGTGCCTCGCAAGACGAAATTAATTCGTTCCGCAAGTTTTTTCTTCTTGCGAGTTTTTCGTCTTGCGAAGCACGGTTTCCCATAGGAATGCATTGAAAATCAATTAATGCGTTCCTAGGGAAACCGACTTCAGACCAGGTCCGGGGACAGTCTGTCCCCTGACCTCTTCTGAAGGCTGGGGGGGGGACGAAGGGCTTTTCTTCCCACCCCCAGCATTTTAAAAAACCCCGGGACAGCGGAGGACTTCTCCGCTGTCCCGGGGCGATTTAAAAGCCCCCGGGAAGGCAGGCAGGGGGGACAAAGACTTTTGCCCCCCGCCAGCCTTCAGAAGAGGTCCTGAACCTCTTCTGAAGGCCGGCGGGGGGCAAAAGTCTTTGCTCCCCCCTGCCTGCCTTCCCGGGAGAGCGGAGAAAGGCAGCGCGTTTCTCCGCTGTCCCGGGAAGGCAGGCGGGGGGGAGCAAAGACTTTCGCCCCCCCGCCCGCCTTCAGAAGAGGTCCAGGACCTCTTCTGAAGGCGGGCGGGGGGCGAAAGTCTTTGCTCCCCCCCGCCTGCCTTCAAAAGCCATCGGGGACAGCGGAGAAACGCACCGCCCGGGGCGATTTTAAACCCGCTGTCCCGGGTTTTTTTAAATGCTGCCGGGCGTCAGCGCTGCCGCCCGGCAGCATTTTAAAATCGCCCCGGACAGCGGAGAAGTCCCCCGCTGTCCCGGGGTTTTTAAAAAACCTCTCCGCCCCCCGCCAGGCTTCGGAGCAGCCTTCCGAAGCCTGGCGGCGGGAGGAGGTCCGAGGACAGTGGGGAAGACGCGCTGCGCTTCCCCGCTGTCCCGGAGATTTCCCTATGGGCTTTCGTCTTGTGAAGGAAGCCCATAGGGAAATTCGTTTTGCGAAGCGCCTCCGCGACGGAAAACCCTTTCGTCTAGCGGGTTTTCCGTCTTGCGAGGCGTTCGTCTTGCGGGGCACCACTGTACTGCAGTCTGAAGCTGGTTGAACTGGGAGTTGAACTCGTCTCCATGCTCAGGATTTTGTGTGCTGCCAGAGATTATGGAAAACTCAGAGTGGGAAGCCATTACTCTTGTATTTGCACTCATGGCTAGACAACTGCAGCATCATGTAAACAGGACTCTCCTTAAATACTGTTTAGAAGGTTCAGCAACACACTGGAAGTTTTTGCAACACCATACCACAGGCTATTTGCATCTGTGAGATGATAACTTTTGAATATTTGTAGTTAGAAATCACCTGGGTGACCACCGTACATAGATTTCTGTTTGGATTGGCCAATTCTTGGTAAGCAGCGGTCTCTTTGGAGTTAATGCCCAGCCCTTTCCTCTTTGCATTCATTCTTGCCTTTTCCACAGCACTTCTGCCAGATTTCCATGTGATGCAGCCTTTGTTCCTCATACAGTGCTGCTTTGTGTGCGATACCACGCAAGTTCCCCTGGGATGTTCTGGCTATTGGTTGGGTGCTGGGTAAATGGCTATCAGGCACCCTATGGAAAATCCATTTGTTTTCAGGAAAGGAGGAAATTAACATGAATTAAATCTTTGAGGCATAATTGTCTCCATGTATTTTGTATGTGACAGGGCAGAGGAGATACAGAGGAACTGTGGCATTGCACGGCATTACCAGACTGTAGTTTTTGTCTTTCTCATTACCATTTTCCCCTTGCTCTGTTTGCAGGAAAATTCTACTGCAAGCCTCACTACTGTTACAGACTTTCAGGTTATGCACAGAGGAAGAGACCGGCAGTGGGCCCTCTGTCAGGAAAGGTAGGCTGTTTCCTTGCATTTCCCAGATGAGACTGCTTTCCCATTTTATGTTGGGAAGTGGCTTTGGGTTGTTTGGAAGGGGGAGAGCAGTGTTGCAGAATCTTTCTGAATCCGATGTGCATTGATCTCGCCTGGCTTTATTAGCTGTAAACTCTTAAACAGAACACATAATGGAAACTTTTTATAAGTTGTTGTTTTTATAAATTTGTTGGCTTACCAAAACCAAGACAGCAGTGTGTCTGGAGAGAGAAGATGAAAAGCTGTGCCAGTGGTGTGCAAATAGGCACGTCGCCATTCATATTTACTTCTGTCTATCCAAAATCCAATTGATGGTGTTGGATAATAAAAATAGGTTCTTTTTATCAGGGGACTATTGAAAAGTACTCATACCCAAAGAGTGGGAATTTAATAATTAAAACATGGATATGCATTAAAGTAAATCCTGCCTTGAGAATATATGTAATAGCTCATCTACTGGACGACGATTACATTTACAAAGTAACATGAATTAATTTTCCTTATGCAGTTAATTTTTTGGCAGTTGGTTTTATGGCAAGTAGTTCTTCAAGGCAATACTATGGAAAAACAATACATGTGATACTATTATTTTTTGTTAAAATCAGCTAACCCCAGGCATGCCCTCCATATGGCTTTACTTGAAGAAGCAGTTAGATAAATAACAAATATATACTGAGAATGTGTGTCCAGATCTGGAATATGCCTGAATAAGCTAGGATTATTGTTTCTCCTGGATCTAAAACCATAAAGCCACCTTTTGTTTGTTTCCTTTTCTCACGTTTAAATTACATAAATGTAATAACTGCATCCTTCCTTGCCTGTTTCCCCCCCAGGACAGCAAAGGGACCCAGCAGGACAACATGGCGGCTGACGGTGCAGGACGTGCAAACTCCATCTCAACTTCGTCAGAGAGGACTCCAGGTAGCTCTGCTTCCTTGTTTGGCAGGGTGATGCAGTACTCGCTCCACCTCTTTGACAGAGTTAGGGTGGCAAGCCAGCTCCTGCAAAACACAGTTTCCTCAGTTGGGCACCACGTAGCCCAAAATCCTTTGGACTCCTTTTTCATGTGCCAGCTGATGGCTTTTGGAGTCCCCTTTATCTATGTCCAGTCAGAGGTTCTTGTGCAGATAATGGGGGAGTTTTTATCAGCACTAGGATATTAATACAGTAATGACAACTTTTGTAACACTGTGTAACATGTGTGCAGGAGGAAATTAGGGGTTCTATGTGGTGGTGGGGTTACATTATGGTTTGTAAGACAAAGCTGCTGTTCTGAATGCTGTCCAGGTAAACACAGACACCCAGTTCAAGATTTCTTGGGTAGGTTCAAATAAATTAAAAATTGCTCGTCATACCCAAAACAGACTAACTTAGCTTAATTAATTTTATCAGGTCTACTCTGAGTAGAACGTAGCTGGATGCAACCCTTAGTCTGCAAAATCTACATTGCTGAGCGAATTAAATATAGCATTAGCATGGTATGAAGAAGTCCATTGACTGGATTTCTGTGTTCACCTGCAAAACTGTCTTATAGTTCTCACCGACATGGTGTCTGAATAGCAAAACATCAAAACCTTGTTGATACGTTTTGAACCATGCCTGCTATACATTCCTTGTTGTCTTTCACAGCCTTTAACTCTGGGTGATCTTGGTGTTGGCAGGTTGTGGAAATTTCTCCCAAAATATATGCTTTGCTGTTCTGGACTGGGGCTGACAAACCAAGCTGTATGCTGTTGAGGGCATTCTGGTTAATCTTAAACTTGATTCCTGTCTCTGTGTGAGAGAGAGCGATAGACTCAATTTGTGCCACAAACCCTTGTTTGGACGAACTTTTACTTTGACCTTTTGGTGATTAAATTTGAATCGCACTTGATAAGAGGCCAGACTGGATTCTAGTTGTGGAATCTTCCAAGCCAAACAGGTTTAGATTTTATTTTTGTATGTAGAATTAAATTATATAGCCGTAGTCGTGCGTAGGAACTAAACCGTTGCCCTTCCATTGGCTAAACGTTTCTAAATAGTATGAAAAAATCCAATTGAAGGATCATTCAAGATACGTTTTTTCATTTATTTATTTTTAGTTGTGTGCACTCAATAGCATTGTACAATTTCTGTATTTGTGTGACATTTCCCACCCAGAAGCAAAATGAAAGAGATTTAAGATTTAAGTCAGCTCTGAAAAACGTTTTGTATTAAGCAAGTCTTTCAAATGTGAAAACACAGCTTCTTGTAACTATTGGATAGGAGTCACTTGGCTGTGGAAACAAAGAGTTCTGGAATTTTGCACTGATTAAATTGCTTGATCAGAGATTGGATGTGGTTGTTCAGATAACTTTTAAGAGTTCAGACTCTGAATACTGCTTGTGTTGAGCTTCTGCCTCTGTTGTCTTGAGACTGACAATCTTGCAGAAGTTGATTGCAGTTGGAGTTGCCAACTTGGTCTAGCATATTTCACCAGCTCTTTACCTTGTTAATTTCAGTTTAGCAATAATTATTCTTGGCCTAATATTGTAGTGAAACCTGTCCTACATTCCCTGCAAGCCATCTAACTTTTAGTTCTAGTTCCCTGCTGGTCAGGGCAAAAAGCAGACAATGTTTGGCTCTCTGCTGAGTTCAAAATTAACTTGAATGTATAAGTTTGCTAATCACTCAAAGAGTATGGGAAATTAATGTGTATTTTCATAGGAGGCTGCTGGAGGAATCTCTATATGTTTAAAGTTTAAGATCAGGACTCTTTCGTGTGTCTTTGTTTACATATACCTATTTATGTGTCTATAGATATTGTAATCTCTACAAAGTAGAATCCAGCAATAATGAATTGAATAATTAATTCTGGCCTTTGTGTTATATAAGCACCATAAACTACGATAATAGTTAAAGACAGTGCTGGGGGGAAATATTTCAAAGAATCAGAAGCCAGCATTTTATGTGTTCAGAGCTGATAAAAACGTTTCAGTCCCTAGATTCCAGCTGAAGTATCCTAATCAGAGAAGTTTCAGACTTTGGCAGTCCTCTGTGAGGCTGGTCTGTCCTCATGCAAACTCTGAATTGCCATTGAGGTAGAGATATAATTCTATTAACTGCATGTTTCGGAGACTGGGATTCATGCAGAGATTGGCATTTCATAATGTGGAAAATGATGGTGATTTGAAAAGGGGGAAAATGTGATTTTAATAGAATGTAATGGATGGTAGTGGGGGAAGCGGAGAAGTGCAGTCTTGGAACGAATAGAAATCTGCACCTCCCATTGGCCTGTGTTCATGGTCAGCTGCCCATTCCAAGCTGACCCCTGGTTCCCGTGGAATAGGTAAATGCATGCTAGTGGAGCCGTGCTTACTCTATTTGCATGTTTAAAACAAACCTGCAATCAGTATTTGCTTGGTTACTATGAAATTTTATGTCGCCTCCCTTCCCTACTTGTCGGCTAACTTGAATAGTAGAGAAGAGAGCTCTTCTGTACTGAGGCATTAGAATAATGGTCAGGAAACAATAAGCACTTTTTATTGTGAGATAATTTCGCTCTCTGGCATGTGTGGCTCTTACATTATAGGTGTTTTGTGACTCCCCCTATTCTGTTACAAAGGGGGAAATTAGCTGATCTCAAAGCTCAGTATTTAGCCATTAGCGTAGGCCAAATCTTCTCTTGATGTCCACCTCCTGGTCTGCCCAGGAGTGTGTGTGGCACATGTGAGTGCTTTAAGTGAGTTAGCTTTTGATGTTTGCTACTATCCGGTTACACTTCTTGCACACTGTCTCCAAAACGTGCAACCCTTTCTGCTGGTGCAGGGGTGGTGAAAGCTGTGACAGGCGCTTTCTTGTGCTGAACTCTGGCATGCTTCTGGCAAACTCTGTATTACGCCTTTTTCTTGTACTGTCTTCCTGGGATTTTGTGTCAAGCACTCTCTGCATTTGCCTTTGTGACACAATTGCTGCTGGTGCCAATAAAAGGAGTGGGGGTGAAAAAAATCCCTTGCTTTTCAATGGTTGTATTCTGTAATAGTTGTATGTCTCTTGTATTTTGGAATGTTTTACAGTGAGTGTCATTTTTTATACATGTCTTTTTTTTTAACACGGAAGTATTGTTCTTTCTGCACTTCGTTGTAAATGTCTGTAAAATATTTTTGAATGTATTAATCCTCCTGTGGGTCCAGTGGGCTTGGAACAGTCTCTTTACATTTTGCCCTTACAATTTTATATAAAGGCGGTTGGTTTTCACTCAATAACTTTTAGGGGTAATGAAATTAAGGTAATTCACCATGAGCTAGGTCACTGGAATGTTACACACATAGTCAAAAGCATTCTAATTAAAAAAAGAAAAGAAAAGAAATATAGGAAATTGAGAGAATTTGTACTAATATCCTCCTTTGAAAGAGGGAAAGTAAATAGTATTATCAGTGGAGTATAACTGTCCTTAATAGTATATTCGAGTGAAGTAAGCTAATTGCACTATAGTGAGGTGGCTGGAATGTGGCAAGTAATCATGAAATACTAGGACTTAAACATGACCTTTTTTCAGACAAACAGTCAAATCTTGGAACACATAGTTGCTGTTTTTAGTGGAGGCCAGCACTCCACTATGGAATTTGCAGCATTTCACATGGACAGAAAGTTGGGTTGTAGGACTTCACTTGCTCTTTCATATACTTGAAGGAGCTGTTGATGGGTTTCTAGTAGCATGCACCCGTATCTGCAGAATGCAAGCTGAATTTGCTTGTGTATTTGTTTTTAAAACACGGGAAGAGGGAGAGAGAATGTAATCTTTGATCAGTGATTAGAGGAGCTCTATGCTCTTCTTTTATCAGTGATTAGAGTAGCTGCATCTTCTATTCCCTTTGATGCCATTTTGGCAGACTCTTCTTTCCTACATAAAAAGGTGTATCAGTAAATTTGTCCCTTTTCGCTACAGAGCACTGAATAATTGTATTTAAAAAAACAATAGAAATTATATTGTTGGTTGTAACAAACTTATTGTTGAATCCTGAAACTGCATTGGTTCATCCAATGTATACCAATGAGAAGCAGGAATTGCCATGGAATTGCATAGGGAGAAGTTAAGACATATTTCTATGGGCCATGATTCAGTAAAAGCATGGTTAAGCTCTGTGTTAAATTGTGCTAATGGTAGTGTTACAACAGTATAGAATCAGTGAAGAATGTCCGTATATATGTAATTTAATAAGATCGTATAATGTCTCCTGGACACAAATTTTAAAATATTAGCATTCTACCTTTAGTCTCAACAAACCATGATCTGAATGAATATAATTCTTTGTTTTTTGACATGATAACTAGTGTATAAGTATTTTTTTGATTCAGCATATGCTTTACAAACTATAAATTGTGCTAAACTTGATCTCAGTTAATATAGTTCCTTAAATTATTATTAGCTGTCACCCTGGTATAAAATGCACTTGACAGGTAATGTAAAATTCACTTGCCCCCAATCTGCACATTTGGCACGAACTCTGCCAGTACTCACCAACTTCTGTTTTAACAGAACATGTTCTTTACAGAATTAATCGTAGGGTAGCAAACATTTGGACTGATGTGATACAATTTTCCACCTGTGACAGAATACTTTTTAGGAAGTCTAGAGATGGTCTTGGTAACCTTGCACAATGAAGGCAGCATTTGAGAAGTCTGATCCTTTTTTGAAATGTTGCTTGGTTTTTACTGTGTCCGCTGCAGCAAGATAGCAACCATTTTTAAAAACTGTGCAGGCCAATCAAAGCTGTGTGCAGTGGATTCTGAACAAGTAGAAATGAGGCTACAGTTCTTTTCCTAAATGTTACTGTGGACCTGAAGCTGGGTAGAACAGTGGGACTCCAGGATTTGTGCCACATTATGTGCAGAGAGACCCAAGCAAGGTCTGTCTCTTCAAAGAGGTTAGGATTATTTTATATATTAAAGCAGCCACCTGG